CGGGGGGTCCCGGGGGAGGTTCCGGGGGGTCCCGCGCTCCCGCCCCGGTGACGTCACGCAGCGGCGGTGACGTCAGGCGGGGGGCGGCGCTCCCGGCGCTCCCCGCGCAGGGCGGGGGCGGGAGCGGCGGCGGCGGCGGCGCGGGCAGCGAGCGCTCCGGGGCTGCGCCTCCATCCCCGCGGCCCCGCCGGCATGTTCTCCAGGAAGAGCCACGCCGACGTCAGGAAATCCACGCAGAAGGCGCTGGACCCCAAGCGGGACGTGCTGACCCGCCTGAAGCACCTCCGTGCGCTGCTGGGTGAGCGGGGCTGGGCGCGGGGGGAGCCGGCCCCGGGGCCCCGAGCCCCCGCGGGGAGCCGGGCACGGCCCCGGCCGGCTCTGCGGCGGCTGCCCGGGCAGGGGCAGCGAGCCCGGGGGAGCAGCCGCCCGTGCTGCAGGCACAGAGCCTCCCCGGGCTCCGTCCCGGGCGGCTCCCCGGGCTCTCCGCCGGGAGGCAGCCCCGGTGCGGGGCCGGGAGCCGCGCCGTGTCCCGGGCTCCCCGCGGAGGGCAGCGTGCGGAACAAACACAGGAGCTCCGCTGTGCCCAGCAGCATCAGCTCGGGCTGTGTGTCGGGTGTGCGGCTCTGACGGAAGTCCCGGCGCGGGGGTGTTGGTGTTGGTGTGTGTGTGTGTCTCTGTGTGTGTGTGTCGGTCCCGGGGTGTCGGTGGCTCCGGGCCAGGGCTGCAGGCGTCCCGGGGCGCCCGGCACCGTGGGAAGCGGCAGCTGCGAGCGGCGCTCCGGAGGCTCGGCTGGCCTGGGCTCGCTGTGTGCCCGCCCGGTGCCCTGCTGATCGCCAGGTGATGCTGCTCAGCTCCAGGTGCTCATCGCCGGCCTGCTCACCTGTTCCTTGTTAGCTGCTGATCGGCCACACTTGTTCCTCGTTAGCTGCTGATTTGCACACTTGTTCCTCGTTAGCTGCTGATTTGCACACTTGTTCCTCGTTAGCTGCTGATTTGCACACTTGTTCCTCGTTAGCTGCTGCTCTTGCGGAGCCGCCCGGGGCTGCTGGCGGTCGGAGCAGGGCTGTGGTGCGGTTGTGGTTTTTGATGCAGGGTGTTTGTGGCGCTGGTGCCAGGTGAGCGCTGCTCGGGGCCCGGGGGCTGTGCCGTGTCCGGCTGCAGGTCGGTGCGGGCGCTGTTCTGGCTGTGTTCCCGGCTGTGTTCCTGCTGTGTTCCCGGCCTGTCTGCTCTCGGCAGCACCGCTGGAAGCGTGCCAGGGTGGCTTCTGGAAGATGCTCTCTCTCTCGAGATACCCTTGCCAGGGTGTCTTCCGTGCTCCTGTTCGGCACGGGCGAAGACTCCGCACGTGGGAAGAGCCTTTCCAGCAGGTAAAGCTTTTGGTATAAAGGCTCAAAAGTAGCTGGATTTCTTTTTGCTTTTCCTTCTCGCGTCTCTCCTTGCCCTGGGCAGGAATGTGTTACTCCTGCTTCCCTCGGGCCGCGGTGCCACACGTTCCCCAAATAGCTGCTCCCGCTCTCTCGTGTTTCCTCGGGAGATGCCAACTCCTCTTCCTTTGTTAGTTTAACTCTGGGAGTTTAATTGTAAACAAAGCCTCAGTTACTCCAGCGGTGCAGGAGGATACTGATCAGAGAGGGAAGGTGATGGTGAGTGAAAGGAACGTGTGTTTCCATAAATAAGGGCTCCTGTGAGCTTTGGATTGCTTCAGGTCCCTTGGTGGCACCTGTGCAGGTTTGTCCAGTGTCCAGAGGGAAAGAAAAGATTCCTCTTAAGCTGGTGTTGGCTGTGACATCTCTCGAGGCTCCAGCGGCCTTTAGGCTCCGGGTTCCTCCTGTCCTCATGGCAGGACCAAACTCTACCCAGAGCAGCAGCAGGGCTCGAAGTGGCTGTTCAGTGCCTTTGAGAAACCAGCAGGACACTTCCCTTATTTCTCTGTTCCTATGGGGATGCACTCACGGCCAGAACTTCTGTTAACTTAGAGTTCTAAATACACTTTGTGGAAGTGCCAGTCGTGTGGTTTTGGTTTTGGTTGGTTTTTTGTTGTTTTGTTTTTAAGATAGACTTAAAAAGTAACAGCCTGAGTGGTGGGGGATGTACAGATGTGGCTCTTCCCCTCTGCCTGGCCATAAATGAAGCCTCTGCTCTTTCCCAGAGTACTTTCTATGGGACTTTAGTAGCACAAAACCGGATCTCTGTGCCTTAAGATTTCTTTTCTGTGGCTCTTCTTGGGTAAAAATACTCTTTTTATGTTGAAACATCTCTTTCAATAGTGTTTCCTCCTCGGGCACAATTTAAGTACTCAGGAGTCAGGCGTGCTGCTGCGAACAGATGTGGGATGCTGCTTTGTCCAGAGCTTTCAGCCTTTTCTCTGATGAGCAGTGGGAGCCACACAGAGTGAAGTCAAGGCTAAATATGACATTTGTGAGGTTACCTAGTGGGGTCTTTAAAGCCCATGCTTTTGGGGGAAGCGCCTTGCTCGGGGCTGGGCTGATGGAGGAGGGTGCTGGGCTCGGTTCTGGGTTCCAGGAGCACTGCTGGCTCCCTGGGCTCGGTTCTGGGTTCCAGGAGCACTGCTGGCTCCCTGGGCTCGGTTCTGGGTTCCAGGAGCACTGCTGGCTCCCTGGGCTCGGTTCTGGGTTCCAGGAGCACTGCTGGCTCCCTGGGCTCGGTTCTGGGTTCCAGGAGCACTGCTGGCTCCCTGGGCTCGGTTCTGGGTTCCAGGAGCACTGCTGGCTCCCTGGGCTCGGTTCTGGGTTCCAGGAGCACTGCTGGCTCCCTGGGCTCGGTTCTGGGTTCCAGGAGCACTGCTGGCTCCCTGGGCTCGGTTCTGGGTTCCAGGAGCACTGCTGGCTCCCTGGGCTCGGTTCTGGGTTCCAGGAGCACTGCTGGCTCCCTGGGCTCGGTTCTGGGTTCCAGGAGCACTGCTGGCTCCCTGGGCTCGGTTCTGGGTTCCAGGAGCACTGCTGGCTCCCTGGGCTCGGTTCTGGGTTCCAGGAGCACTGCTGGCTCCCTGGGCTCGGTTCTGGGTTCCAGGAGCACTGCTGGCTCCCTGGGCTCGGTTCTGGGTTCCAGGAGCACTGCTGGCTCCCTGGGCTCGGTTCTGGGTTCCAGGAGCACTGCTGGCTCCCTGGGCTCGGTTCTGGGTTCCAGGAGCACTGCTGGCTCCCTGGGCTCGGTTCTGGGTTCCAGGAGCACTGCTGGCTCCCTGGGCTCGGTTCTGGGCTGCCTGGGCTCGGTTCTGGCTGCCGGGCTCTTCTCGGTTCTGGGGTCCGGGCTCGGTTCTGGCTCCCCGTAGCTCCGCAGGAGCCTCCGGTGACACACGGGCAGCAGGGGATGTCCTGCCGCACTCAGAGCCGGGGATGTGTGCGGGCTCAGAGCCGGGGATGTGTGCGGGCTCAGAGCCGGGGATGTGTGCGGGCTCAGAGCCGGGGATGTGTGCGGGCTCAGAGCCGGGGATGTGTGCGGGCTCAGCCGGGGATGTGTGCGGGCTCAGCCGGGGATGTGTGCCGGCTCAGCCGGGGATGTGTGCCGGCTCCTGCCGCGTTCAGAGCCGCTCCCCGCGGTTCCCCGGCCGGGCTTTCAAACCTATATTTTCAAAATAATGCTACCATTATTTTGGGGCTGTTTCGGTAACGGGCTCTTTCTCGCTGACATACTTCTTGTGAAGATAAGTTTTATTTCTGGGGTGAAGGCTGGTCGTAAAAGTTTATCATTAACCAGGGTGTGGCTGCGAAATTGTCTTCAGCTCCTTTAATTTTTCAAGTAGTTGAGGATTAAGGGAGCTTTGAGAAAATGGCATGAGGTGACTTTGGGAGTTGAGGGAGTGAAGGGGGGATTTCTTGCGGGTGACTCTGATAATTTGGCAATTAACAGGGAAACAGAAGGCGGGTCCATGTGCTAAGGACGGGCTTAGTGTCCCCTCGGGGTTTTTTTTTAGCCTGAGGAAGAGCAGTGGGAGTTTGGCAACAGACTCGGGCTCTTACTCGGTGTTCCCCCAAATTTTAAATATTCCCGAGGCACAGGGAAGTGTCCTGGTGAGAAAGCAGCAGGAAGGAGCCGTGCCCTGCTGCCAGTGAAACATCTGTGGGACAGGGCTGTGGGGATGCAGCTCACATCACACTCGGCCCTGAGGCACCACCGAGATGCCACATCGAGCAAAAAGGAGAATTTGCTTTCTCGGTGAGGCAGTTCCTTTCTCCTCCCTTCGCAATTTAAGAGGGAAAGTTTCCTTTTTGTTTAGATTTTAATGACCTCATTCCCTGGTATGAAATCCCTGTAAATGAACGCCTTGTTTTCCCCTGGAGTTGTGTCTAACAGGACGCATTCATGGAGGGGAATAATTGCACTTAGCTTGCAAATTCAGGAGCAGTAGTTTGCAGGAAACAAATATCACGTTAAAGACTTGCCCTGCTCTAATTGTTTCCATAGTACAAGCAGCCAAGCAGAGCCTTGCTGCTGGAAAGGTATTAATTGAAATAAAAATCAAGTTGTCCGGGGCTGAAGTTATCCTTTCTTCTGTAGTAGTCGTGGGATATAATTGAGCCTCCTAGCTGGAACCAGCTTTGTTTTGGGTAATGAATGGCTGTCCTGCAAGGTGAGGCTTCGATGAGGAGATGGTGATTGCAGCCCTTCACCCTCCTCTGAGCAAAATCACCCAACTTTCCTTCCCCAAATCGGTGTCAGTGAGGACCAAAGGGAGGGAATTAACCTTTCTTAATGTTTGCCCAGCGTCAGGCTGGGAAAACATCGGACTTTTTTCTTTGTAGAAAATAAACTTATTTCAAATCTCGGACCCAAGGTAGCGCTTAGGTGCCATTATTCTAAGAAGTGAAATGGGAATATGCTGGTTTTTGGTCTGCTTGCCAGATGAAGACAAGAGCTGAATTTGCATCCAAAAATCATTGCTGGTGCTTTTCTGCAGCAGTACCTGTTTGTTTTGATGGTGCAGAGGCCGTTTGGTTCCACAGCCAAGACTCTCCCCATTTTTTATATTTTTTAAATTTCTTTTTATTTTTCATTTTTTTATTTTTTCTTTTTTAATGGAAAGCAAGCAAACCAAAGCCCTGCTGCAGACTCTGATAAATTTGGTGAAATTTCATCCTTGCAAGGATGAACCCACAGTTTAGTACAGAATACTCAGTGAACCCGTTGAAATAGTTTTGTACTGCGTTTATTTCATTCTCTACTGCTAAACTTGCAGAATGCCTGAAATTCTTGTCTTTCTGCTCTTGTGTAATTGTTCTGTTTGTTCCTCTTTTCAGACATCGTGGATGGAAGTGACCTGAAGCAGTTTTTTGACAACAATTATTCTCAAATTTATTTTATATTCTATGAAAACTTCGTAACACTGGAAAACAGCTTGAAGCAAAAAGGTGAGTTTTGGGGTTTTTCCAGCAGCTGTTGGCCAGTGTCCCATAACCGTGCAGAGTTGTGGATTCCATCAGAGCCCATCCAGTGGTTGTCTGGTCCTCAGTTATCTGGATTTTCCTGCAGTACGGTGTCGCTATCCATCACTTTCACGTGGTGCTGGCAGGAGAGATGAGCGTGGCACGTCCCTCCCTGGACTTGAGAGCACAGCTGGCACTTTTCTGGGTTTGTTTCAGACTTACCCAGCCGTGCCCAGGGCTCCTGCAGCTCCACGAGGGCAGGCTCAGGGCACAGCTCACCCCTGGCACCCTTACCTGGGCTGAGAAATAAACTGAGCAGCACCCCTGGCTTCAGCTGAGCAGCACCAGCCTCACTCTGCTGTCTCCTGTCCCCTGTTTCTGGCAAGCAATGTTGTTTTGTGTCTTGCAGGGAATAAATCACAAAGGGAGGAGCTGGACTCCATCCTCTTTCTCTTTGAAGTAAGTTTTCCATCCCATGAGAACTAATTTGTGTTTTAAATCTCACTGTCACTCCGTGCTTGCTCAGAGCTTTGTGGTGAGGGGTGAGGCCGGGTGTCAGCCCCCTGAGCCAAGAGATGTTTCCAGAATGCCCTGGGAATGCAGCAGGAACACCTCTGTCCTGGGGAGCTGGGCACTGATGCTCTGGGAAGGAGCTGGGCACTGATGCTCTGGGAAGGAGCTGGGCACTGATGCTCTGGGAAGGAGCTGGGCACTGATGCTCTGGGAAGGAGCTGGGCACTGATGCTCTGGGAAGGAGCCGGGCCTTTCGCTGGGATCTGGGGGCTCTACTGCAACCTTGAGTCTGTTTGACTTTCCCAAAGTCTGCTTTCTGTTGTTTCTCTCGTGTTTTGATTGAACAGGAGTTTGCTCCTGTGTTTTGTGGAGGAGAGCAGCCCGTTCCCCCTCTCTCTGTGTTTATTTCACAGCAGGAGCTGGGCTCTGCTCCCCTCACACCAGCAGCACCCGTTCCCATCTCCAAAAGGACAGAGCTGGCAGCTGCTGCCCATCAGTTTGAGTGTGTGAAATGCTGATTTCTTTGGCGTTTTTTTTGTTCAGTAGAACATCTCTCACTTCCAGAGGCGCATCCTTCCCTCCTTGCCAGCACTGGCCGTGGCTGGGGAGGAAATGTTACCTCGTTAACTTTTGCATAATCAAATCAGGATTGCTTTAATTGAAACGAGACTGGTCTGGGACAGGTCGTTTTCCAAGGTACCCCTTGGACTGGAGTTATTACCTAAATGTGTTTGGATGTGAGAAGATACCACTGGGCCAGATGAAAACCTGACACATAACAATGTTCTTCTGACGCACACCAAAATTCTTGGCTTAAGCCCTGCCTGTCTCTAGTCAGAAAGCACTGGCACCTTTAAATGTTATTATTTTGACAGTTGATTAGGTAAATAATTGGCCAGATTTCTCTCTTAAGGTTAAACACACATATCATCTTCTGCTGATTTATTTCTCTTTATTTCTTCCTCTGTTACTCCCACTACTAACTTTTTACCTGAGTGTTGCACCATAGAAATCTCATTTTTGTTTATATTTTGGGGTTTTTTGGTAGGAAGAAACCCCTTAAGCTTTCAGTGGGACTCTAGAAATTGAAGCTAAAACAAAGACTAATTGTTGTCAGCTCCCCTCACTCCCCTGCAAGACCCCCAGCCCCTGAGAAGTGTGTGGCTTCGTGGGTGTGCGTTAATGAGGAGCTGCTGGTTGGGGTGGTGTTTATGGTGACAAGAAGAGTGATGCTGTTTAGCCCAGTGTGCCTGGAGTGGGAAAAATGGCCATGACAGTGGTGACGTGGGACCCTGGGCTTTTGTGATCTCCAGTTCTCCCTTTGCTGGTTCCCCCTCCAGGAGACGGCGTTTTCCCTCTGCAACCCGAGCGGAGTTCCTGCTCCTCGTGACATTAGCAGGGCTCTGCTCTGGGGATCCCTTTGGGGTTTGGGTGGGGTTTGGGGTGATTCCCTTGGTGCTGGGGATCCCTTTGGGGTTTGGGGTGATTCCCTTGGTGCTGGGGATCCCTTTGGGGTTTGGGGTGATTCCCTTGGTGCTGGGGATCCCTTTGGGGTTTGGGGTGATTCCCTTGGTGCTGGGGATCCCTTTGGGGTTTGGGGTGATTCCCTTGGTGCTGGGGATCCCTTTGGGGTTTGGGGTGATTCCCTTGGTGCTGGGGATCCCTTTGGGGTTTGGGGTGATTCCCTTGGTGCTGGGGATCCCTTTGGGGTTTGGGGTGATTCCCTTGGTGCTGGGGATCCCTTTGGGGTTTGGGGTGATTCCCTTGGTGCTGGGGATCCCTTTGGGGTTTGGGGTGATTCCCTTGGTGCTGGGGATCCCTTTGGGGTTTGGGGTGATTCCCTTGGTGCTGGGGATCCCTTTGGGGTTTGGGGTGATTCCCTTGGTGCTGGGGATCCCTTTGGGGTTTGGGGTGATTCCCTTGGTGCTGGGGATCCCTTTGGGGTTTGGGGTGATTCCCTTGGTGCTGGGGATCCCTTTGGGGTTTGGGGTGATTCCCTTGGTGCTGGGGATCCCTTTGGGGTTTGGGGTGATTCCCTTGGTGCTGGGGATCCCTTTGGGGTTTGGGGTGATTCCCTTGGTGCTGGGGATCCCTTTGGGGTTTGGGGTGATTCCCTTGGTGCTGGGGATCCCTTTGGGGTTTGGGGTGATTCCCTTGGTGCTGGGGATCCCTTTGGGGTTTGGGGTGATTCCCTTGGTGCTGGGGATCCCTTTGGGGTTTGGGGTGATTCCCTTGGTGCTGGGGATCCCTTTGGGGTTTGGGGTGATTCCCTTGGTGCTGGGGATCCCTTTGGGGTTTGGGGTGATTCCCTTGGTGCTGGGGATCCCTTTGGGGTTTGGGGTGATTCCCTTGGTGCTGGGGATCCCTTTGGGGTTTGGGGTGATTCCCTTGGTGCTGGGGATCCCTTTGGGGTTTGGGGTGATTCCCTTGGTGCTGGGGATCCCTTTGGGGTTTGGGGTGATTCCCTTGGTGCTGGGGATCCCTTTGGGGTTTGGGGTGATTCCCTTGGTGCTGGGGATCCCTTTGGGGTTTGGGGTGATTCCCTTGGTGCTGGGGATCCCTTTGGGGTTTGGGGTGATTCCCTTGGTGCTGGGGATCCCTTTGGGGTTTGTGTGGGGTGGTTCCCTTGGTGCTGGGGATGTGCAGCCCGAGGGTGGCTGACCCTGGCTGGGAGCAGCCCGGGAGCCTCAGCCCAGGGAGTCAGGAGTGCCAGGGGATGAGACATCCGTGCTGTTTTCCATGGGAAACACAACTAATTGATTGTTAAGCTTCCCATATTTAATGTGATGTCGGCAGGAGCCGGGGGGGTGCTGCGTTTTCTGCTAATTAGCTAACTAGGTAGTTACTCGGGATTACCAAATCCTGAGTCCCCGTGCTGAGGGTTAACAGCCTAAAAATCAGTACAAATATTTATGAGGGAATTGCCTCTGCTGGCGCTTCGGTGGGGTTGTGCTGCTGTTGTGGAGTGACACCTAGTGTGTGTGTTGGGCAACAGAGGCTTTTCCCACGAATCCTCTGCAAACTGACCGGGCTTGGTGGCAATTGATGGAGGAAAAATCTCATTTTGCACGTCAGCTGCACGGCTGGGCCGCAGGGCAGCGGCTGCAAGCAGCCTGTTGCTCAGAGAGGAAGCGATACCCGGCAGGGAGGAATGTGAAGGGTTAACTGTTGCAATTAACGCTGCAAAATGCGTGGCTGTAGCTCTGTGGGGCGCTTTGGCTTTCCCCAGGTGGACAGATGTGTGTGTGAAGTGGCGTGGCACCGGCGCTGTCACGTTTCCCTGGTGCAGCTGAAAGCCCCAGTGTATGTGGCACACAATTCTTTTTCTGCCAAGCTTCTGGTTTGTTTTTTTTTCTCTCTATTTGCAGAGCAGGGGAGTGCTGTTCCCTGTGTCCCTGCTGCCTTTCGAGGGGCAGCCCAAAAGCTCAGCTCTGAGTGCTGTGTGTCGCGGCTCCCAGGGCTGCGCTGTGCTGTTTGTTTGCTCCGCTCACAGCGCTGTGCCATCAGCTGCTTGGGAGAGCTTGGGGTGGGTTTTTTAATAAGGAAGCATTTTTTTCTTTCTTGCAGCACCAGGCAAGCGATTCCTCTGACGCTGTGGTTTTTAGTCTCTGATGAAGTAAAAGCAGGCTGATGCTTTTGAGATCCACAGATCGATTTCTTCCCTTTCTCTATGATTTTCCTTCGTTATTTAAGAGCAACTACACCTGTCGTGCTGATGGTGTCAAAAATTTCATTCCACTGATCTAGCAAGTTCACTGGCTGAGATGTTTTGCACTCAGAACTTTTCAGATGTAGAAGAGCTTTCCCGAGTCCGTGTTTGGTGTGGAGTTTGTGGTTCCTGAGCCCGGTGCGGATGTGAACGCTGGGGCTCCAGCTCAGTAAAGTAACAAAGGGGCTTTTTTGTTTGTAGCAGTAAGAGTGCTTTCAGCTCTGCTTTTCTACACGTAGAAAATGACTTTTGGACGCCTTTGCAGTCGCTCTGCCGTAATTCCGGTAGCAATGCTGCTGTTCCTACAGCGTTCTGGGCTACATGCTAGCTACTTGTTTCACATCTTCTCCTTCAGAGGCCTGCCTGTTCCTTGGCGTGCCCGGGGCAGCGCTGGGCGCCCTGCGTGCTTTGGGCAGGCGTTTTCCCTCAGCACACAGCTGTAAATAATGGGTGGGTGCCGTAAGTGGAGCGTCCCTCTGTTGAGGCTGGGCTGCTGTGGGCACGCCGCCTCCTTTGGCCTCCCGGCTCCTCTGACCCCGTCAGCAGGAGCTGGGAAATTTCTGGATTGCTGCAGGTTCTGGTGGCGGAGCAGCCTGAAGCCAGCGGAGCCCGGGAGAGCTCTTCCTCCTTGGCCTGGCTCGACGTGGATCCCCCTGCCCTGCCTGCCGGGGACGCCGGGTGCGGGGTTTGCTGAGCCCTTCGGGGTGGCTGTCCTTGGTCCGACCCCAGCCTGGCACATCCCAGCGCTGCTGTCCCCCCTGGGGCTGGGGAGCGCCCCTGGGACGCGTCCTGCAGCTGGCACGGGGCACAGAGCTGCCAGGCACGGCAGCGTGCCGCCTGGGGGGGGGAAAGCAAAGGGCTTTTCAGAAGGAATGGCAGTTTGGGTCGAGTCAGCCTGTCGACATCCAAACCTCGATCGGTGCTTTTTGTTTTGCTTCGGCGAGAGAGAGGCGCAGCGTCCCGGGTGAACTGAGATTTAAACTTAACGTTATTCCTAGTCATGCAGGAAGTCCAAACGAAAAAGAACTATGGATAATCGGTTAAAAGAACTGACAGGTACCCCGATGTGTCGATCAGCAGTAATGCCCAATTTCTATTTCAAGTGTGCTGTAATGGATTACCATATAGATGCAGCAAAGCACTGAGCATTAAATAGATCTATGTGTTTTCTGGAAAAGCAATATTATTTCGCACTGTGGGGTTTCTTAAAATATTTCTTATTAGTGTAGTGTGAAACTAGGAACGAGATGTCAGCAGCCAGCTGGGATTCACAGCGGTGGGGCTGGGCTGGGGGGGAGAGGCTCTCGGTGGTGGTGCAGCAGCAGCAGTGCACGTTCCTCAGGACACCTGGGGTGGGGAGGGTGTACAGAGTGTCGCTGGGGATGTGGAGCTGAGAAGGGAGCAGGTGGAGCTGGTTGGTGACTGGCTGTGGGACGGCAGAGCCCCCGGGCTGGCACACCCCTGCCTCTCCTCACAGGGCTATCTACTCACTGTTTTAACCTGGACTGGACGTGCCGAAAGGGGAAGTGACTGAGGTGTCTCTGTTTTTGCTGTGTGAGGAGATTTTGGGGTGTGGGAGCTTTTCTCAGATAGGAGCTTCTGTCCTCTTACTGATGGCTTAAACCCTGGGATTGTTTTGATTCACTCACCTGACAAGCGTGCTGGAGTCTGTGTTTTGTGAAGGGAGCAGGAAGGCTGCTGTTTCGTGCCGTTCAGAATTTAGGCTTGGTTTCCCCTCTCCTTGAGCTGAGCGTTTGTTTTCCTGGATACAGCCTGCAGTTTGCTGAGACTTGGATGTGAAAATTGTTACTGAATTCTTTTTCAAATGGGTCCTCACCATGGAGCTTTGCACCTTCCCAGCTCACTCAGCTAGCTCACGCCTCCTCACTTTCCAGAAGGGAATTTTAAATTTAGGTGAGGCTGTGTAACAGAGTAAAACAGAGCTAACAAATCACCTGTGGTTCCGTCTGCTTTTCCATGATAAATGTGCCAATGTGTGAGGCTCCCTCCCTGCAGTGACGCCCGAGTCCAGCCCAGTTCCCCTTGCTGCTTTGCTGTTGGGTTTTGTTTCCTGGAGCTGTTCCTCACACTCCTCAGGCCACACACATGGCTTGTGGTGAGCCTGGGCACAGACCCAGCTCCCACACACAGCTCCTGCCTTGGCTTAGGTGAGGCTGGAAGTGCTCCTGGCTTAGGTGAGGTCAGAAGTGTTCCTGGCTCAGCATAGGTGAGGTTAAAAGTGCTCCTGGCTTAGTTTAGGTGAGGTTAAAGGTGCTCCTGGCTTAGGTGAGGTCAGAAGTGTTCCTGGCTTAGTTTAGGTGAGGTTAAAGGTGCTCCTGGCTTAGTTTAGGTGAGGTCAGAAGTGCTCCTGGCTTAGGTGAGGTCAGAAGTGTTCCTGGCTTAGTTTAGGTGAGGTTAAAGGTGCTCCTGGCTTAGTTTAGGACTCCTTTCTGCCCCGTGCCAAGTTAAGTAATGATTAATGGCAGAAGTATTCTGGAGGAGTGGTGGGCTGCCAGTGTCTGAATGTTTAGATGGATAACAGTAACTCTTTGTCCATGGGTCCTGCAATCTGCTTGGCAGAAGCCTGGTGCTCGACTAACAGGTAAAGCCCCTGTGTGAGCCATGGCCTCGTTTTTAGCCAGTCAGGTCCCTCATCCAAGCGTTCCTGCTGCCCACGGACAGGGAGCTCGACCTCTGGACCCTCTGCTCCTGGGGTCCTGCTGCCACCACGTGCTGGGGAGGGAGCTGGGGGAGTGACACTGGAACAAAACACGAGGAGCACGGAAAGGCCGTGCCTGGTTTGCACTTTCCTTCTGGTTAACCTTGCAGAAATGCTAAGTGCAGTGTGGGGAGCACACGCCGTGGTGGAGCTGAGGAGGAGGAGCAGCCTGTCTGTGAGCCGAGGTCCGGCTCCCTGTGCCCACCAACTGTCGTCGCTTCCATCCTCTGCCGTGGAGAAGGGAATGTTCCATGTCCAGAAAGGCTGTTCTGAGTGTTGAGTTTCTGAGGGCCTTTAGTGTCCCGAGCCAGAGGCCCGTCCTGCCCCAGGTCTGGAGCGCACGCTCCGGCAGCGGGGCTGGCTCTGGCCCCCAGTGCCAGCTGCTCTCTGGGCTGCCATGCTTCGGGTTTTCTTGTGAGCTGTTGTGTGCAGAGCACCCTCGAACGGGCCGGTGTTGCAGAAGTGAGCTGCCATCCCCTTGCACCCTGCACGTGGCATTGCCGAGAGCCTGGAGCTGTTTGTTGTGCTGGGGTCCCTGCCGCTCCTTTCCTCCCGTAACCGCGAGGGGCTCTGAGCGCCCGTCACCCTCAGCATCGTTCCGTTCCGTTTGCTTTCCAAACTGAACTGCTCAAAACTGGTTTCCCAGTTAAATGTCTCTCCCCAATTCCTTGTTTCAATGGCTGGGGTGTTGTAAGGTGGGGGTGTTTCTGCGTGGAGCCCTGCGCAGCCCGGAGCCTGTGCCACACCTGCAGCCAGTCCTTCAAAAGGAAACTGTGCACATTCCTTCCCATCTCATTTGTGTGTGGTGTGTCTGTCTCTCTGGATCCCCTGATGAGCCACTTTCATTACAGAAAACCTGACTGGTTTTGTTTCCTGCAGAAAATACTGCAGCTGCTGCCCGAGAGGATTTTTTATCGATGGCATTTTCGCAGTATAGGTAAGAACAGACGGTTTAAAACAAAAAAAAAGAACTTTTTAGTGGCTTTTTTGAGATCAGTGTTCCGTTTAATGGAGGGATATGTGAGTAGAGTGGTGGATACATGGTATTTGTGCAAGTTTGGCCCCAGCTCTTTCCCAGATTCTCAGGAAAAGGAGGATTTTCCCAGTGTCCTGTTAGAACATGACCGTGGCAAACGCCCCCCTGGCGCACTGCAGCTTCTGGAAGGAGGGAGGGAATAGCAGGAGGCTGGCAGGAGCAGCCTTGGCTGCCCAGGGACACCTTGGGATGGTGAAATGGCTTAACCCCATCATTTCCTCTGACTCAAATGCCTTGGATCCGTCACTGCTGCTCAAATTCCGCTTCCAGGTCCCACCGGTGTGGCACCCCAGGGTTTTTATGCTGCTTGTTGAAATTTTACGGGGGACTCCATTCCTCCCAAGCTGGAGTTGTTTGTTGGGGCTGTTCTGCAGCAGTGTGACACCAGCTGCCATTCTTGTCATCTGAGCAAGGAATTGCTGCTGCAGAGGAACAATGAGCGGAAGTTAAAGGTCAAGGGAAGGGCTGTTGTCACATTTCCACTCAGCACTGACAAAAACAAGAGGAGACATCTGCCTGGCCCCTTCACAACGGTTCAGCTGAGCTAGTCCACACCAAATTGGTACCAGTCGGTTGCTCCATAGCTGATATTATTATTATTATTATTATTATTATTATTATTATTATTATTAATGCTTCTAGTGCGTGGTCACAGTGGTGTAATGTTTCATCTGTGTCCAAAAAATGATGTGCAAAATTTGGCAGAGCATTTATTTTCACCTCTGCCGTGTGATTTCCTTCTGCTTAACGTTCCTGTGCATTTATATGCATTTCCTAATAATATTATTATTCATCTAATTTCTGTTTCATCTTGTGAAATGATCTCGAGGGAAGGAGCTGGTGGCTGTGGCTGGCCTCGGATGGGCTTTCCCCCCCACAGGGGCCCCAGATAAATGAAAGCAGGCTTCCATGGGACATTTCTGAGAACACCGTGGTGGGAAGTGTCTCACAGTGTCTGCTTAATTTTCCTCATCCAGGGTCGATTCTGAAGAAGCTTTTGCACACTGGAAATTCTCTCAAGGTATTGCATCAACGTTTTTGTATTCCTTTTCACTTGAATTCCTGTGAAGTATGCTACTCCTCAGCTTTCCAATAGCAGTGTTTCCCAGATTGCTGGGCTTTGGAGTTTTTCCTTACTCACCTTTTAATAATAAGTTTTATTATTGTGACCCTCGGTTACTTTCATGCGTGTTCTCGGTCCTTTTCCTGCTGCTCTAACGACCTTTGTGCAGCTTCCTGGAGAATTGCCAGATACCTGATTTTCTGAGCTTTCTCTGGCATTGGGATTATCCAAACCCTGGGAATCCCTTGGGTAGGGAGGCAGGACCTTACACTCCTCCTGTGTGAGCTGGCGTGCACTGGGATTATCCAAACCCTGGGCATCTCCTGGGTAGGGAGGCAGGGCTGGGATTATCCAAATTTGGGAATCTCCTGGGTAGGGAGGCAGGGCTGGGATTATCCAAGCCTTGGGCACCCCCTGTGTCCCCAGGCAGGGTTTTGGGGGTGCAGCCTGGCAGAGCTGTGTCTGTGCCCTGCTCTGGGGGTGCAGCCTGGCAGAGCTGTGTCTGTGCAGGGTTTTAGGGGTGCAGCCTGGCAGAGCTGTGTCTGTGCAGGGTTTTAGGGGTGCAGCCTGGCAGAGCTGTGTCTGTGCAGGGTTTTAGGGGTGCAGCCTGGCAGAGCTGTGTCTGTGCAGGGTTTTAGGGGTGCAGCCTGGCAGAGCTGTGTCTGTGCAGGGTTTTAGGGGTGCAGCCTGGCAGAGCTGTGTCTGTGCAGGGTTTTAGGGGTGCAGCCTGGCAGAGCTGTGTCCCTGTGTCCCCCTGCAGCTGCGGTGCGAGGGGATGCGCCTGTTCCTGCTGTGGCTGCAGGCCCTGCAGACCAACTGTGGCGAGGAGCAGGTGCTGCTGTTCGCCTGCCTGGTGCCCGGCTTCCCCCCGCTGCCGTCCCCCCGCGGGCCCTGCACGCTGGACAGCCTGCTCAGCCCCCCGGCCCCGCCCGACGGTGAGCCTTCATCCCCCTGTGAGCCTTCCTCATCCTCATCCTCGTCCTGTGTGAGCCTTCATCCCCCTGTGAGCCATCCTCATCCCTTGTGTGCCTGCATCCCCCTGTGAGCCGTCCTCATCCTCGTCCTGTGTGAGCCTGCATCCTCCTGGGCCTTCCTCATCCTCCCCTCTGTGTGAGCCTTCATCCTCCTGGGCCTTCCTCATCCTCCCCTCTGTGTGAGCCTTCATCCTCCTGGGCCTTCCTCATCCTCCCCTCTGTGTGAGCCTTCATCCTCCTGGGCCTTCCTCATCCTCCCCTCTGTGTGAGCCTTCATCCTCCTGGGCCTTCCTCATCCTCCCCTCTGTGTGAGCCTTCATCCTCCTGGGCCTTCCTCATCCTCCCCTCTGTGTGAGCCTTCATCCTCCTGGGCCTTCCTCATCCTCCCCTCTGTGTGAGCCTTCATCCTCCTGGGCCTTCCTCATCCTCCCCTCTGTGTGAGCCTTCATCCTCCTGGGCCTTCCTCATCCTCCCCTCTGTGTGAGCCTTCATCCTCCTGGGCCTTCCTCATCCTCCCCTCTGTGTGAGCCTTCATCCTCCTGGGCCTTCCTCATCCTCCCCTCTGTGTGAGCCTTCATCCTCCTGGGCCTTCCTCATCCTCCCCTCTGTGTGAGCCTTCATCCTCCTGGGCCTTCCTCATCCTCCCCTCTGTGTGAGCCTTCATCCTCCTGGGCCTTCCTCATCCTCCCCTCTGTGTGAGCCTTCATCCTCCTGGGCCTTCCTCATCCTCCCCTCTGTGTGAGCCTTCATCCTCCTGGGCCTTCCTCATCCTCCCCTCTGTGTGAGCCTTCATCCTCCTGGGCCTTCCTCATCCTCCCCTCTGTGTGAGCCTTCATCCTCCTGGGCCTTCCTCATCCTCCCCTCTGTGTGAGCCTTCATCCTCCTGGGCCTTCCTCATCCTCCCCTCTGTGTGAGCCTTCATCCTCCTGGGCCTTCCTCATCCTCCCCTCTGTGTGAGCCTTCATCCCCCTGTGAGCCGTCCTCATCCTCATCCTCTGTGAGCCTGCATCCCCCTGTGAGCCTTCCTCATCCTCATCCTCGTCCTGAGCCTTCATCCCCCTGTGAGCCATCCTCATCCTCCCCTCTGTGTGAGCCTTCATCCCCCTGTGAGCCGTCCTCATCCTCGTCCTGTGTGAGCCTTCATCCCCCTGTGAGCCATCCTCATCCTGAGCCTTCATCCCCCTGTGAGCCTTCCTCATCCTCATCCTCGTCCTGTGTGAGCCTGCATCCCCCTGTGAGCCGTCCTCGTCCTCCCCTCTGTGTGAGCCTTCATCCCCCTGTGAGCCTTCCTCATCCTCATCCTCGTCCTGTGTGAGCCTTCATCTCCCTTTGAGCCATCCTCATCCTCCCCTCTGTGTGAGCCTTCATCCCCCTGTGAGCCATCCTCATCCTCCTCCTCCTGTGTGAGCCTTCATCCTCGTCCTCCTCCTGGGTGAGCCTTCATCCCCCTGGGCCTTTCTCATCCTCCTCCTCCTGGGTGAGCCTTCCTCCTCCTCCTCCTGAGCCTTCCTCCTCCTCCCCTGCGTGTGAGGAGCTGGGAGGGCCGAGCAGCTGCTGGGCTGTGGCAGTTTGGTGTCTCCCTGAGGGCTCTGTGCCACTCAGCCTTTTCCAGACGTTCTCTCTTTTATTTCTCTGTTGTCACCTGTGCTGGGCACGTTTGGTTGCAGCCAAGGTTTTCCCGGAGGAGATCACGCCGCTGCTGCCGGCTGTCTCGGGGGAGAAAGCTGCCGAGGACCAGACCTGCTACTTCCTGCAGCTGCTGCTGAAATACATGGTCACTCAGGTGAGGAGGATGTGTGCTTGGGGCTGCTCCTCCTTGGAGGGGGCATTTGTGGTGGAAAATTAACCCTACGCCACATCTGTGCACAGCTGGGCTTTTCACCCTGCCCCAGCCCTTTTTTATTCCTTACTGGTTTCTAAATGGAAAATGGCCCCAAGGGTGTTTCCTCGTGCCGGTTTTGGTGAAAAGAAGAAGTTTGTCGCACTTTTGTGATGAGAATTAATGAACGTTATCCGGGCTTGGGGAATGACTGACTGTTTTATGTGCTCGTGGCTGCATTTGGAGAATTGATGTGGGGTAAAGATGGAGTTTGTTCTCTGTGGACACACAGCTAGATGAAAAGGGACGTAAAGGACCACTGGAGGAAGAGATAAAGAGAGATGGCTTCTGTGATGTTTTTAAAAGGATGCAAGTAACAAGTACATAAAATTTAATTAGAAGTAGATCAGATGAATCTGTACAGGAAATAAATTAAGATAATGTATATTTTTAAAAGTACGAATTAGGCAACATTTGAAATAAAGTGGAAGCTGTGCAGACAATGAACATTAAAGAGCCTTGTTATTAAAAAAAGATAAATTATAATTAAATACTTCGAGATACGCTTTCTAGTATGAAAAGGCAAGACCAAAATAACGTTTGGAAAGGGTTTTGTCATCTTGAACAGATGCTTTATTTTAAAAAGTGGCTGTATGGAATTATCAGCTTCCTCCACAGCACCCTTTGTTTTGCATATCAGAGTCTCACACCACTCCAGTCAAAACCAAAAAATGTCCCTCTTCTCTCTGTGCTCTCGTTACCTGTGTGGGATCCAAACAAAGCTGCTTAGGCTGCAGGTGCCGTTGCACAGAGGTTCTGCTGTTTGTTCATTGTGCTGAAGAAAGTATTTCCGATAAAAGTGAGAAGCAAATTCAGGGAGAGCAGCGCAAATACGCTGGTCTTTGGGGGGCTGCTCTGGTCTTACTTTCCCTTCTTACTGCACTTTGTAAAGCTGGTTTTGGGGCTGTGCTACTTCTTCCTCTCTTGCTCAAGTGTGGTTGCCTGTTTTTTGTGTTAGAATTGTCAGCACACCACGTTAACTTAAAGCTTTCTGTCTGTTCCTCTCTAACTCCGTGACGAAGGCTGCCAGCTTGGAGTGGAAGAACAAGGAGAACCAAGACACTGGATTTAAGTTTCTCTTTGCTTTGTTCAGAAAGTACTATCTTCCCCACTTGTTCCCATCTTTCACAAAGCTGACCAACCTCTACAAGCCTGTGCTTGGTGAGTAGTGGGTTTTGCCTTTGAAGCAGAAAAAGCCAGAGCTGGCTCTCAGCAGCATCTCTGTGACCTGCTGGTGTTATCACTGCATGTCCTGTAAAATTCACTTAGGCTGCAGCAGGGCTGGCTCTTCCTTCCAGCTTTGGCCCTTCTTGTTTGCAGCCCTTCTCTTGTGCTTTGCTTTGCTTTGAGGGGTGCAGGGGATAACCTCAGGGAAGAGCTGTCCCGTTCTCCTGAGGAGAATTCAAGCGTTAGTAAAATGGAAGCAGTCATTTGCATCTGTTATTTTTCCTGGGTGAGGTGCTCAGTGTGTTCAGCCAGCGCTGGGGGGCAGTTAGGAAGATCCCACTCCGTGTCTCTGTTCCCTCCTGTCCCTGCAGACATCCCTGATGTCAGGCCAAGGCCGGTGTACGTCGCTGCAACGCGCAACAACGAGAGCGTCTACTGCACTAAAATCCCCTACATGGCAGCTCGCGTGGTGTTCATCAAGTGGCTCGTTACCTTCTTCCTGGAAAAGAAGTATTTAGCTGCTGTTCAGGGCACAAAAAATGGAGGAGAAATGCTCCCTAAAATTATTCAGGTGGGCTTTGAAGTTTCCCTCTCTCCTTGCGTAGGCGCTGGCCCGGTGGGTGATCGCGCTGCGCCGGCAGCTGAGGCACAAAGAGATGCTCCCAGTAGTGAATAAAGGATGTGGCTGGTTGGCTGATTTTTCTTCCGTGGAGGAGGGAGTTTCTGAGCAAAACCCTCCAGTAATTCACTAGAAGGTTGTTTTTTTTTTTCCCCCTCGTAGCTTGTTGCATTAGCAGTTCAGCAGTATTTTATTTAGGCTTTTGGAATTTACTCTGTACACTGTCATACTCGGTGGTTCCATGGACCACTTCCCAGCGACATCAAAGGCTGCTTTGTTTTCCTCTCAGTTGTAGCAGCTGTTTACAATAAGGTATTAGAGAAACATTTCATTTATAGACTCGTGGCCGAGACTTCTCTAGCATGAGATGCCTCACAGTGAATTTCATAAATCCATGCTTTTGAGAGACTCTCCGGCTTCCTGTTAGGAATTTAGAATCGGTCTCAGCTTGTGTTTGGACCGCAAACATCCCCACTATTAATATCCATTAATAAAAATGGGTGTCAGCTGGGGGCTCTGCAGAGAAGCAACACGGTTTGAGAGCTTTTCAGAGCAAAGATTGGCAAAAAGGTGTTGGGCATGATAACCTGTGGTGCTGCCATCCATCTTCTCCCCAAGGCAGAGGGACCTGGGGATTCCTCTGCACGCTGTGCCTTCCTTTGCTCTCATCATGTGGAGTGGACAGTTGTCAGTTGTTGTGTGCTGTGCACAAGTGTCCAGTTTGTACAGACCAAATTCCTTCTTGGGTGCGTGCTAGACTGAAATTTGCTGTGCCTGCCCGCCTGGATGGCAGTGTTACCCCAGACAGGGAATCCCGAAATCCTGAGCTCTCTGTGGGGATCCCAGAGTGTGGTGTGTGTGTGTGCTGTGCCTGCCGGGGTGCCAGTGTTACCCCAGAGGTGAGGTGTGTGATTTGGGGGGCTGACAGGCTGTGCTGTGCCTGCCTGGGTGTCAGTGTTACCCCAGAGGTGAGGTGTGTGATTTGGGGGGCTGACAGGCTGTGCTGTGCCTGCCTGGGTGTCAGTGTTACCCCAGAGGTGAGGTGTGTGATTTGGGGGGCTGACAGGCTGTGCTGTGCCCGCAGACGGTGGCCGTGGGCCAGGAGGAGGGCGCGGAGCCGGAGAGCGGCGCGGTGCCGGCGGGCGAGCAGGAGCAGGAGCACGGGCACCCCGGCAGCCTGTGGGACAGGAGGCTCAGCAGCTGCAGCCTGTGCAGCGTGGAGGAGCAGCACCGCGGCGTCTACCAGATGGTGCAGGGCATCCTCCTCTCCACCCGCGGATACGTCAACTTCGTCAACGAGGTGTTCCGCCAGGTCACTGCCTGGGCTGCCCTGCGCCGCTTCTGCGGGGAGAGGAGTCAGGGGCACCCGGGGCTGGGAGAGCTGGGGCTGGGAGAGCTGGGGCTGGGAGAGCTGGGGCTGGGAGAGCTGGGGCTGGGAGAGCTGGGGCTGGGAGAGCTGGGGCTGGGAGCGCTGGGGCTGGGAGAGCTGGGGCTGGGAGAGCTGGGGCTGGGAGCTGGGTGAGCTGGGGGCTGCTCACTGGGTGCCCAGGTGGTCACTGGGCCAGCTGGGGGCTGCTCACTGGGTGCCCAGGTGGTCACTGGGCCAGCTCAAGGCTGGTCACAGCAGCAGCCTTGGAGGTCAGGCTCCTTCCTAGGTCTGGTTTAAGGATCAGATCACGGAGCTGTTGTGGGAACTGAATCTTGCTGCTTGCAGTGGTGGTGTGGGTGGCAGGTGTGTGTTTGTGTGCACCACTTGTGCCTGCTGCGGGGAGTGAAATCTGTGAATTTCCCGTTCCAGGCTTTCCTGTTGCCGCCTTCTGATATATCGGCGACACGGAAGGTGGTGAAGGTGTACCACAAGTGGATACTGCAGGAGAAACCCGTGTTCATGGAGGAGCCAGACAAGAAGGAGGACAGCCAGGATGCTGCTGCTCCCTTGGAAGACTCCTCAGTGCAAACAGACGGTAAACATGTATGGCATCTCTGTTCCTTACTTTGTCCTCTGCCCTATGGGGCTTTTCACCTCGCTCTGTAGAGGAGTAACAATTTCAAGTGTGTGGGGAATTAAAAAATGCTTTTATTCAAGGGCTCACAGTTGAAATAGTTGCTGAGTAGTACTTGGCGTGCAGGGGAGGGTTGCAGCTGGTTTGAGAGACATCATTTGTGGTGATTCCCCATGTGTAAATATGACAGCAGGAACTTCATGGAGGAAACACTGATGGGTTCTGCAGTGCTAAAATTGGCTGTCTGCCGGCCTAGGGCATGGAGAGCTCTGTTTCCTTTTGGTGGTGCTTAAAAATTTGACAATAAGCATTAATCTGTGTGTGCTGTAACTGGGCACCTCAGTCTAGACGATTTAACTGCAGATAGGGTTCCTGTGCATCCCCTTTTATTATCCTGTTCTGAACCAGCAGTAAAAGTGCACTGGTGACGCGCTGACACTGTTTCAAGGGGGGTTTTCTAGTACTGAGTGAGAGGTTTGATTTGTAAAACAGCGAGAATTACAAGGTTCTTACTTCGTTTGGCAGAGAATTTGTAGTTTTGCCAGGCTTAAATTCAAGCTCTGCTACAATCGGTGAGTAGGAAAAGCGGTGTAAAATATTTCAAGTAACATACCTCCTAAAACTTCCACGGGCCTGCAAGTTTGGAAATGAGGAAAGGATAGTCAGGAATGGCCTGTGGAAAGGAGTGTGTGCCACGCCAGTTCCCTGGCTTCTGCTGCTGAGGCAGGGGTGGCTGGTGTGGGTCTGGAGCTGTGCCCTGTGGCTAACCAGGCTGTGTTTGGCAGCTCTCCTCGGAGCCCTGCGGCCACAAGCGCTCCTCCAGCTGGGGCAGGACGTACTCGTTCAGCAGCGCTGTCAGCAGGGGCTGTGTGCTGGAGGATGAGGACAGGGATGTGAAGGCTGGCGCTCAGGCCATGCTGCAGGTGAGCTGCTGGCAGGGGCACACCTGGGCCTGCCCTGCCTGCTCAGGTGGGTCACTTCTTGTGCTGCACGGTCTGTCACGAGCCCTGAGGTGCAGGGGAAGGGCCACCCGGGCTTGGTTGGCTTTGTAAGGCGCAGTTTGGGCTCCGTGTGTCACTCTGAAGCACATCTATTAACCCAAGTGACGGTGTCTCAGAGCCAGGGGTCTGTGTTCTAACGCACGAGGGTAAGTTCTTTCCTCCCCTGAGTACGAGGAATTGATCAGAACCGTGCATTTACTTTTGCTGAACCTCACTTATTGAAAATGCTGCTGGCTCTTTAGGCATGTGATGGCAGGAAACGAGTGGCTGGAGGAACGTCCACAAACGCCCACAAACCCTGTACTGAGCCTGGGCGGGTCTGTGGCTGGAGTAACACAGGAAAATAAAGTGATGGGGAAAACATGAGACCCCCTCTAAGGAAAAGGGCAAGGTTTAACTGAAGCAGCACGAGTATTTCGTTGTATTTCATTCCTTGCACACGGCCTGTCACTGCCAGGTGTTCCTGACCAACTCAGCCAACGTTTTCCTGCTGGAGCCGTGCTCCGAGGTCCCTGTGCTGCTGAAGGAGCAGGTGGATGCTTGCAAAGCCGTTCTCAGCATCTTCAGGCGCATGATAATGGAGCTGTCCATGAACAGAAGGACGTGGTAAGGGAAAGACGGCGTCACTGGAGAGGAGAAGGCTGCTGCAGCCCACAGCCAGCCAGGCTGTTTGACAAATGGTCCGAGGTGTGAGCGCATCCTCGGGAAACGAGGCTGTGCTGCAGCGTTAGCGAGCAGCTACAGCTAACGCAGCACCTCTTGTTTTGGCACCAGGGAGCAGATGCTGCAGGTTCTCCTCAGAATAACAGAAGCTGTGATGCAGAAGCCGAGGGAGAGCCAGACGAAGGACACGTTTGCTCAGAGCATGGCAGGGCTGCTGTTCCGAGTGAGTGAGTGGGGATGCTTGCCTTTGCTCTGGCACAGCTGCCCACAGCTTTGGTTGAGTCCTGTGAAAGCTGCTTGCATTCCTGTGCAGGAGGGGTTTGCTCCTGTTTTGCCAGCGGTTGTTTTGTAAACTGTTGCTGGCAGAGGGAGAGCTGGCTTTGCCCTGTCCTTCAGGGCTCTGTTACCAACTCCGGTGGCACAGACAGGATGTTTTCAGTGAGTGTGTCTCTAAAGTGTACAGTTCAAGTAACTGTTTTCCTAAGAAAAGTCCGGCAGAGAAGTGAAAACCGAGTCAGGCTGAGTGAGAGAGGCATTTCTGCTTCCTACTCTCCTTCCACTGCAGGGTGTGGCTGGGTGTTGTCGAGCTGCCCCAGAGCTCAGCTGCTGCAGTTCTGTGGGTGTGGGACACCCCTTAACACCCAGCCTGAGATTTCTCTGCATTCCCTTCATCAGTGGGGTGCTTTTGAGGGAAGGCAGCGCTGCGCATCAGCTGTGCCTCACCAGGTGCCGTGCTGCCGTCCCGTCGGAGCTGTGGGTTGTGCTTGGTGCACTGAACTCCTCAGCCCTGCCCGAGCCGCCCCTGTTCCCCCAGACCCTGCTGGTGGCTTGGATCAGAGCCAACCTGAGCGTGTTCATCTCCCGGGAGCTGTGGGACGAGCTGCTGGGCGTGCTGTCCTCGCTGACCCACTGGGAGGAGCTGGTCACCGAGTGGGCCAGCATCATGGACTCGCTGACAGCCGTGCTGGCCAGGACCGTGTACGGCGTGGAGATGACAAACCTGCCCCTGGACAAGCTCAGCGAGCAGAAGGAAAAAAAGCAGAGAGGCAAAGGTTTGTCTTTGTGCTTCAGTGCTCCCCGTATCAAACAGGTTAAATATTGAAGCTTGACCTTAAAAATTAAATTAATGTTAAACACGACTTAATCTGGTGTAAGAACCTGTTTAACCAGATGGGAAGCGCTTGGGGTTTGTGTGTTGTCATCCTTCACCGGGGAGGAGAGCTGGCTGGGGTCTGCACCTGCAGCCAGGGGTTTTGGGTGGCAGAGATGAAATGTGCTTTCCTCTGCTGTTGGCACTGGCAACTCTGTAAAAATGCCTTTCCGTGTGTTTTTAGTGAAGTTTCTAATTGAGAGCTGTTCCAGCTGCATCTCCACGCCTCCCTGAAATCGAGGCACATAGCTTGGTGTACCAGCTGGTTTTTATTAGTGGCAGAAGTTAACTTGTGTTGTTTGGAGGGTTCATATTTGCCACGTGCGAGTCCGCTCGTGCTCCAGTGAAAATGCATGCCAAAGCGCCCAGTGCCAGAACGTTCTGCGTCCTTTGTCCTAAGGTGGTGCTTTGGAGCCTCAGAAGACAGCTGTGGTGGGAAGATCTTTTTCATTAAGCTGGAAAAGCCACCCCGAAGTTGTGGAGCCGATGAGGTTCAGAAGTGCCACGACCTCTGGGGCCCCGGGAGTGGAGAAGGCGAGGAGCATTGTCCGTCAGAGAGCCACGGGTGAGAGCACGGCTGGGTGCTTTGGTAGCCAGACACTCCCAGACACTCCATTTCAGTGATTTCAGTCTGCCTCTGAGGGTGGCTGCTGCCAAAAAGCAGCTCAGTAATGAACTGCCCCAGCAGAGAGCTTGCATGGCCGTGGCTGGCTGTCCTGGCCAGTGTGAGTCACAGAGTGTTTGGGGAAATTCTCTATAAAGGCTTTTAGCTGCAGGACATGATTGTGAGTTAAAGCTGTGCACGTTAGGGGTTTTTCTGGAGAGGTACATTGCTGTCTTTATTGGTTCCTAAGGAAGCATTTATTGCTGTCAGGCAGATAACAGATACTGATACAGCCATTCCCTGGGAGTGCAGGGTAAACCAGCTGTTCAGTAAACGATGTTACTGCTTTGTGTGCTCTCTGTTTCTTGGCCTTGGTGAGGTTTTCCTCCTCTTCTGGAAAGAGGAAAGCAGGAGGGTGAGCGGGGTGAGGGCTGCTGGGGCAATGGCAGACCCCCAGACATGGAGCAGGTGCTGGTTAGTGCGGGCATCTCAGCAGCCTGCCCTTTATTCCGTGTCAGCGTGTGTCCCTGTGCCCCTTCTGGGGCGGGCTCCCGTGGCCATGCCCTGCTTGGGGCAGGAGCTGCTGGGCTGCCACCAGGGCTGGGAGGATGCTCAGGGTGTTCTGTGGCTCTTGTGGCTGAGCCTCAGCCTCCAGCCTGGGTCACAGAGCGCTCTGGCAGCAGAGCCACTTCAGTCTGAGCTTTACTTCTGAGTTCAGGCAGTCCCTGTCTGTGCTCCAGGGGAGGATTCTCTCTCCTGCTGCAGCGTTTTCCCCTTTGACACCCTGCCAGAGCAGCAGGGAGAGCCTGGAGTTGTTGATCCAGGGCTTTTCTTGTTTGTGTGTGTTCGGATTAAAGGCCCTTCCACACTTGCTGTGGATCAGAAATCCCTGATTATTGCCCTTTCGGTGTGAGAGAGTGTTGTACAATATTAACTTGACATCTCAGGGGCTAAACCCCTGGCCTTGCTGCTGTAGAGCTTTGTCCCAAAGCACCGGGCTCTGTTGTGTTGTGACACTCGGAACTGCAATGTTTCACTGTGCTCCTGATGTAATTATTGCTCTATTTTTTCCTGGAAGCTAAGCGAAGCCAGTCTATCAGCAACTGTGTCCATCTCTATGAGGCTTTGCCAACCACTAAAAGTGTGCCTCTTCTGCTTCACACTGTGAGCTCTCTCTTCCCTGGTATCTCTTACACTTCTTGCTCTCACAGGCTGTCAGGTACTGTACTTTAAAGTCATCTTTGATATCAATGCCCCGTGTATTTTTAAACTGCTCTCTGTCTGGTCCCTTCCTGTCCGGTGGGTTTGCCTCAGGGTGCTTGCAGCTCAGCGAGCAAACAGTTTTCATTCACTTCGGTATTAAAGATTGCCAGGAGCTGCAATTATAGATCTACACTGCCTTGTAACTAAAGCGCAAATTCCCACCTTTCACTTCCTGGGAGGGGATCTGTGGCCCCCGAGTCCTGCCCAGAGTACATTCCCCGCAGTAGCAGGAGAAAGGAGAGTTCTGGACGTGGTGCTGTTTGGGCCTGTGGGGATTCCTGCTCACCGAAACATCTTTGGAGTGTTTCCATCTCCAGTTATTTATCTCGGGGGGAGAGCTGAAATTGTTCCAGTTAGTGAAGCGCGTTGAATGTTCTATTTCATTGCCTTTTCTAAGACATTGAAAGTCAGTGAACACCAGAAATGCTAGTTTTTGTGCACATGCTCCCGAGATAACTTCCTGAAACACCTACAGTGCTTATTAAGCAGTAAAGCAGTAGAAAAACCTGCACACTGCTGGATGGAAATGCTGGAGTGCTGCTAGCTTTTTTTGTTTGGTTTTTTTTTTGGTTTTTTTTTTTTTTCCCCCCAAATGCTAAGAGAAATGCATTTCTAAAAGCCCTGTGCTGCCCCACAATCTCAAGAGTTCCCATTGCTCCTTCCCCAGCCTGTCACTTTACTTCCCCTTGGGAATTTTCGTGCCTCCCTCTCTCCTCCTGTTCTTTCTCATTTGCAGCTACAGCCAAAGCAAAAGCTGCCTGCTGGGGTTTGTCCTCACAAGCCAAACCCAGGTTACACCCAGCTGTAACCCAAGCAGCTCAGAGGTTTTTTCCCCTCTGAGTTTTTGCCTTTCTTCCTCCTCCCTTCCCCTCTCTCCAGAGGTGCCTTCTCCCCGCGCTGCATTCAGGGGAATTTTGTTTCCCCTGCTCTTTCTGTCTCCAGAATGAACAGGGGTCTCCAGCACTGAAAGCCCAGCTTGGTTCCTGGCACCTCCTTTCTGTTACCTCCCAAAATCTCTTCTCTCCTTTTTAGACCTTTTACGCTGCTCATGCATTTCCCCCTGAACTTTACAGGTTTTCCAAGGGTATTTTATAGAATTTGAATTGTAACGTGTGAATTTTACCCTGGGAATTTTAAATACTTGCAAGGGTCACTTTTTCATAGAGCTTCCTTAGGCAAGGAGTTCACAGAGGTACACAGGAGCTCCTGCAAATGTTTTGTGTTGTAATTAAATCGACAGAAGTTGAAGAATCTCAACAGCTGGAAAATCCAGAAGGAGCAGAAGCTGCGGGCCCATCTGCAGACCAAGAGCAGCAGCTAACTCGGAGCAGCAGCACTTCAGATATTGCAGATCAGATTCCACCTGATTTTTTTCAAGGTAATTTTAATAAAATACAGCAATACTGTGTTTTTCAGGGAAAAGTGTTGAGGCTTCCATTTGAATTGGGTGTGTTGAAGCTGCTGCTGGAGTTCAGTTCCTCTCCTGTATGTTGTGCTCCCAGAGGACTTTCCAAAGCCTCTGGTGTCCCACTGAAGTGTTGTATGGCCCTTAACTATAAATATGAATATAAATATGAGCTATAAATATAAATAGCGTCAGCATCGCTGAAGTTTATGTGAGGCTTGCTGTGTGCTTTGGTCCCACAGATGTTTATAGTTCTTGTTTCCTTTCTGAAACTTCCAGGTAAAACTGCTGGAAATTCGGCTTCAGACTCCAGATCACTTCAGGAAAACAGGGGATGTGCAAAGGAGCGGGAAGCCGAGCAAGTAAGGCAGAGCCAAAAGTAATTTCTGATGGGATCCTAGCGGTGTTTTCTTTCTAATCAGACGCCTTTCAGCACTCAGGAGCTGTAGGAGGTGAAAGTGTGGGCAGTGATTAATGCCATTTCTGGTGTGCAGTCTGGAAGTGAGCTGTGGCAGGTTATTGTCCTGCTGGGTGTGATCGGTCTGTGTCTCCTGATCCCATCAGCTGCTTCCGCAGCTGTGTCTGTTGAGGTCTTACACGAGGCTTTGGTCCTTCCTTAAAATATTAAACATCAACAAGAAGTTTGTAACTTTTAAAAGATGAATAATTCATGGCTATTCCAGAGCTGCAGTACACTGGAATAAATGTTTGATGGTTTAAAGCACTGATGAAAATGCTTCTCTTCAGCGCAGTCCCTGTCAGCAGCCGGGCGTGGCAGATGTTAGTGTGAGTTGACATTAGCACAGGCAAACTTCGTGCATTTTTAATGGCAACTTTTCAGCAAAGAGTTGAGACAATAAATGACTCAGCCTGATTCATCTCTGTGAAATATGAAGGCTGAAAGATTGTTTTATTTTTTTTTTTAAATACCTTAAATTATTTCAGGTGTGTTTGAACAGAGGTAAAAAATCCTGGTTGTTGGTGTGAAAAGCAGAGGTTGTTGGTGTGAGAGCAGAGGTTGTTGGTGTGAGAACAGAGGAAGGGGAGGGTAAAGGGTGAAATGGGACACCTGATGTGTTCCTGGGGACACTGACAAGCCCTTGGTTAGTGTGAATATTGATGAGGATGTCGTGGCTGGGCTGTGGTCGGTCTCTGATGAGGGTGTGGGCTGGGCCGTGCTGGGCTGGGCTGGGCTGGGATGGGCTGGGATGGGATGTGCTGTGCTGGGATGTGCTGGGCTGTGCTGGGGGGGTGCTTGGTGCTGAAAACAGGACGAGCAGAGGTGAATTTTTCCCTGCAGGCTCTGATGCAGAGGAGCAGCAGCACGGCCGAGCTGGGTGATGCGAGGGCAGACTCGCAGGGCTGTTCCAGAGCCAGGGAGAAAAGTGAGTGCTGCTGTGTTTGCGTGGAGCCCAGCGCTGCAGGGCCGCTCTGGGGCGTGCTGTGAGCGGGCTGTGCTGTTTGCAGGTGAGAGCCTCAGCAGTGACACGTCCCTGGGCTGTGCCACCGACGTGGACGCGGCTCTGGTGGCCTGGCAGGCGGCCGAGGACGAGCCCGAGGCCGGGACGGGCACGGATCCCGCAGCACCACGCTGGCTGCAGCTCAGCCCCTCACAGGAGCCTGCCAACCTCACAGGTACCCACCAGATACCCTGCAACCTCACAGGTACCCACCAGATACCCTGCAACCAACCTCACAGGTACCCTGCAACCTCACAGGTACAGGTACCCTCCAACCAACCTCACAGGCACCCACCAGGTACCCTCCAACCTCACAGGTACCCTCCAAGCTCACAGGTACCCACCAGGTACCCTCCAACCTCACAGGTACCCTCCAAGCTCACGGGTACCACAGACCCCCGGCCCCAGAGAGGAGCTCTGCTCCCCACTTGGCTTGTGGGACACCCCAAATGTGTCACCCCAAACGGTTCTGCAGGCCTGGGCCAGAAGGGACCTGGACCATCAGGTGATCTGCTGGTAAATGATGGTCCAGAGAGCCAGCTGGAAACAGAGGGGCTCCTCCCAGTGCCCCCCGTGCTGAGGTGCAGCACACTGGCTGATGTCTGAAGTGACCAGGTTCTGTTCCATGGCCTGAGGAAATGCCTTACTGTGCTTTTGGCTGGTGGGGAATACGGGGTTCATTCTTGGCCATCTGTAAAGGGCAGCTTTCATCTGGTGATGTGAGGCAGACATTGGGTCAGGAACTGAAGGCAGTACTGCAGGAATACCTCACAGGCTGCCTCCCTGATGGCTACACGATTCCGAGGGTACTTTCTCATGTCAGCTTTTCCTTTGAAATGTCTGCTTTAATGAACCAGCACAGCCAGCCCAAGCAGGGGGTGCTGCTTGGAGAAGGTGCTGCTGGCCGTGGTGAGGATGGCAGGTTTGATAAATGGGGTGTTTGTGGCTGTGGTGCAGGAGAAAGGCACACGTGGTGGGCTGGCAGGGCTGTCCTGGCCCAGCAGAGCCTGTCAGGCAGTCACAGCTCGCTGTGCTGTCGTGGGCTGAGGCAGGACAGCCCTGGCAGCACCTCTGAGCTGCAGAGCTGCCACTGCCCTGGGCACAGGGCTGTAGGAGGTCATTCCAACGTGCTCAGTGAATAACATCTGCTTTAGCACCTCGGGACTTTGTAATGCTACGACAGTGAAACGGGAGAAAACGACTCCCGAAGCTGTTCTGTAAATACATTCAAGCATAAAAGCATCTGGAATGCCTTTTATTTCACTGACCTGCCTTGAGTCCTGAGAGGACAGGAGGACAGTGTTGCCTTCTGCCTGTGCAGGGTTTCCTGCAGGCTCCCTGCACTCCTGGGCTGCTGCAGGCACGGCTGGGGCCAGGCTGTGCTGCTGCCTGGGACAGGAGAGCAGCTGCCAGCTCTTGTCATTGGAATCTGCACTCCAGAGTGCCTTTGGACTGCTTCATGTGAACTCCATAACCCCAGCCCTGCTCTCTGTGCTCTCTGCTCTCCCAGGGGCTGCTCTGGCTGAGTGCTGATGCCTGAGCACATTTCCCAAGGCTCTTCAGCTCTGGGTTTTTATTCCTTTGTCCGCTTGCATTGCCAGGTCTCGCTACACTGTGTGATCTTAGAAAAGAAAAGAAAGGACTTTGATAAACATAGAGATGTTACCTGTAAGAGCCAGTTATTGATGGAATAGATCCCTCAGGCACCTGAAGGTCGCTTTTAGGTGCATTTTTCCTCCCTGCTGAGAAGCCCTGGGTGTGCTGTGCCCTGAGGCTCTGTCACCTTTGCCCGTGTTTGCTGCCCTGGTTTTCTTTGACTCAGAAGCAGCTCCAGCAACGGAAGAGATTTGGGGGAGAGAATTCTTGTGGGATGGAAGATGGTTGGGAGGAGTAATGGCCAGATTTTGTTGAACAAATTCAAGCTTAGGCTGCATTTCTAACTTGTGGAAATGGGCCTGAATTGCAATTTGCAGACAGCAGTGAGTTCCTGGCTGACGACTGCAGTATAATTGCTGGTGGAAGCCTTGTTGGTTGGCATCCTGATTCTGCTGCCGTGCTCTGGAGGAGGATCCTGGGAATTCTTGGAGATGTGAACAACATACAGTCACCCAAAATCCACGCAAAAGTTTTTGGCTACCTTTACGAGCTGTGGTATAAACTTGCCAAGGTACGTGGTACTTCCAGCTAACGATGACGACGTTGTCATTGACGTTTCTTTGGTTGTGGAAGTGATCATTAAATGGGATTCGGTGTTAGCACCTGGAGCATAAGCAAGGTGTGGGAGGGCTGTGTCATAAAGGAAGCTTTGTCTAGTTGGTTTCCAGCAGCTAGCTCCAACAGACAATCCTGTGAGGGAGCAAGAACGAGGTAGTGCAGACATGGGTGTTTGTGTAAGGGCCGCAGTGGGACTCCAGCAGGTAATGTTTGCTCTGGATGGGGAGCAGCAGCAGAGAACGAGCTCTCCTGGTGGCTTTGGCTGCAGTGTGGACTCGGTGTAGCCCCGGGGGCAGTGCCTGAATGTAAATGAAGTAAAACTAAAACATAACCAAAAATAAAACAAAAATCCTGTTTTATTAACGCTCCTCTTTAACCCCTCAGATCCGGGACAACCTCGCTATCAGCGTGGACAATCAGTCAACCCCCTCTCCTCCCGTGCTCATCCCTCCCCTCAGGATATTTGCATCCTGGCTGTTCAAGGTCAGTCCTGGGGCTCACACAGGAGCTGCACGGCTCTGCACGGAGCTGCACGGAGCTGCACGGCTCTGCACGGAGCTGCACGGCTCTGCACGGCTCTGCACGGCGCTGCACGGAGCTGCACGGCTCTGCACGGAGCTGCACGGCTCTGCACAGAGCTGCACTGCTCTGCACGGAGCTGCACGGAGCTGCACTGCTGTGTGTGGAGCTTGCATGGCTGTGCATGGAGCTGCCTCTGTGTGCCTCGCTGTTTGTGCCACTGCTGGCCACGGCAGCCGTGCCCGCTGGCTGGGATGCGAGGCAGGAGCTGCAGGGGATGCAGGGGTGCTGCAGGGGTGCTGTCGTTGCAGGCTGCCACGCTGCCCAGCGAGTACAAGGAGGGGGGATGTGGCAGGGGGGGCTGCAGGGGGGGCTGCAGGGGAGGCTGCAGGGGGGCTGCAGGGGGAGGCAGGGGTGCTGCTGGGGAGGCAGGGGTGCTGCAGGGGTGCTGCAGAGGTGTTGTTGTTGCAGGCTGCCACGCTGCCCAGCGAGTACAAGGAGGGGAAGCTGCAGGGGTGATGCAGGGGAGGCAGGGGTGCTGCAGGGGTGCTGCTGGGGAGGCAGGGGTGCTGCAGGGGTGCTGCAGGGGTGCTGTCGTTGCAGGCTGCCACGCTGCCCGGCGAGTACAAGGAGGGGAAGCTGCAGGCCTTCAGGCTGCTCTGTGCCATGATGAGCCGGCGCCAGGACCTGCTGCCCAACTCCGACTTCCTGGTGCATTTCTACTTGGTGCTGCGCCTGGGGCTGACCAGCGAGGACCAGGTACGGGCTGGGCTCCATCTGCAGCTGCTGCAGCTGCTGCCAGGAGCCAGCACAGCTGCGGGCACTGCGGCTGCCCCGCGCCCCCCTGGCCTGGGAAAGGCTTCAGCGGGCTCCGAGGTGATGGTTGTCCCACAGAAACGGCCCGGTGCTCGTGGGAACGTGCAGAAATCATCTTTGTACAAATTCAGGACTCATCTGTGAGCACTCCCAGGTTTTTATAGCTGTAGGAACCAGAGCAAGGGCTGCAGCTCTGCTGGGGGTGGCAGCAAGGAAATTCTGGGAGTTACTGATGGTGCCCTTAGGAAATCAGCCAGGTTGGATTGTTTGAGATGGAAGAGGGAAAGAAGGAATTGTTACCAGGCTCCTGCCCCTCGGTTTCCCTCCTGGAAACTTAGAGCATTGGAAAACACTCCTTTTAAACAGGTAGGAATAGAGGCAGGGGTTTTCTCCTGGGAGATCCCAGGAATCCTGCTGCAGCTGCACATCCCTCTAAGGTTCCCTGGATGTTTTCAGCCCCACACTGCAATCCCTCTGTGTCTCTCTGGATGTTTTCAGCCCCACACTGCAATCCCTCTGTCTCCCTGGATGTTTTCAGCCCCACACTGCAATCCCTTGGTGTCTCCCTGGATGTTTTCAGCCCCACACTGCAATCCCTCCATGTCTCCCTGGATGTTTTGCAGACTGTGCTGCTGCTCTTTGTTCCTGCTCTCCACTCTGGTGGCTGTGTTTGCCTCTTGGTGGCACACTTGACCGCAGGTTGGCTGCTGTGTGTGTGTGTCCTTGCCTGAGCTGTGGAACAGGGAGAGGTGTTAACTGGAGGTGCCTTGGAGCCAGCTGTTGATGGGAAGCAGGGTCCTTATTCCTGCTCCTGGATTTCCAGGGCCATGGGCTCCAGGCTGCTCGCTGGCCGCTCAGAGTGCCAGCCTTTTTGTGACAGGATACTGGAACCGGGATCCTAGCATGCTTTCTAGGATTTCAGAAATAAAATAAACTTGGGGGTGGCCTTTTCAGCACAGAATGGCAAATTTTGGCACAATTTGTCTGCTAGGCACGGGCATAAACGTCTCCCTTGTAAGGAATGTTCACAGAAGGAAGGGTAGGAGCTGTCTCGTGGGGGAATTTTCCTCCTGTGTGGATCACTAGTTGCAACTTGTAGCATTTCTGTGGGAAAGCCAGGGAAAGCCCAGCTCCAGGAAATCACCTTGGCTACTTCAGAAGAGCTTTTTAGGTGGTTACATAATTAGTAAAAGTATTACAGTGGGGAAGCTCTTTGACCTGAATGGTTTTCAGTATTTTGGTTTGCGTGACAGGTGTTTTTATTTTAACTGTATTTCTCTTTTCACTCCTCGCTCGCTTAAGGATGTGAGAATAGGAAATTGCTGCTGTGTTGTGTAGCTTTCAGGGCTGCTAGAAAAACAAAACAATCAGGTTTTGAATGTGCTATCCAAGAGTGCAGTGTCATTCCCGTTGCAGCCCGGTCTCGGGGTGCATAAAAGAGCAGTGTGAGGCTGGATTTTATGGGAGGCTCCCGTGGCTGAGCCCGGGGTGGAGCAATTAGCTCAGCAGAGGGGACAGCGGGGTAATGAGCTGCAGCTAATTTGTCCTTGTGGAAGTGTCTGACAGCAGCCATCCCTGGAGAAGTGAACAACTCTCTGCAAGGGTTGCATCACCTCTCCAGGTGGGAGAAGGGAGCACAGGAGGGGTCAGGGGCCCAGGGAGGTGTGTGGGAGCCTTCCTCCTGCACTGCTGCTGCAGCCCTGGCACTGCGCTGCTGCTGCAGCCCTGGCACTGCGCTGCTGCTGCAGCCCTGGCACTGCGCTGCTGCTGCAGCCCTGGCACTGCTCCTGCACTGCTGCTGGGCTGCCCTGCCCTCTCTCCCTGGCCCTTTTTGAGCAGTGTTCCCTGGGGCTCCCAGCCTCCCCTCCCCGTTCTCCAGCGAGAAGGAAGGAGCTGGGACGTTCCCTACCGGGCTGGGGCTTAGGGCAGGTGCTGCACCTGTGCTCAGGGGCTGGGAAATCAGGAAATGTCCCTGGGCTGGTTTGTAGGGGTGCTGTGGGATAGCCTGCTGCACTCTGGCTGGGCACAGCTGCCTTCTGCTGCCAGCTGAGGCTGCTGCTGGTCAGAACACTCCTGTCCAGCAGCTGCAGCCAGGCGTGTCTTTTGGTCTGGCTGATAAATGCGGCTCCTTAAATCAAGCCAGAATCGCTCTGCAACGCACAGGTTTTACAAATAAGCAGGGAAAGAAATGTATTGTTATTATTGCTGCTTACTGTAACAGTGCTTCTTGCTTCATTCACCTGAAAAAGTCGATAAGCATCTCCTTGCTCCACATCCTCCTCCTCTTTGCTGAATAACAGAAGTACCAAAACACAATCCCAAAAAGCTACAAATGCTTCTCAGAAAACCAGCTGTTGGCATAACTGGGGTTCTTTAGCTCGGGTCATTCTGGCACTTCAATGATCCTTTGAGTTTGCTGGTTTTCTCCCGAGAATTAATTCTGTGGACTTTTGTGTCACCGTTTCTTATTTCTGTCTGAATTTCTGCTCGTAGTCTGAGGGGAGGAGGCAGTGCAGGTGAGGTGCTCGCCTTGTGGGACACTGTAAAGAGAGGCAGGTTTTTAATCCTTTTTTTGGGTTTCATCTCTCCCCTGCTGGGTGTTGTTTTTTAGCCAGTCTCACCCTGGCGCCAGGTGAGCATCGGGTGCTGTGCCTGGTGTCACCTGGCACTCAGGTTACCTGCAAAGGGAGCAAGGGAGCCACCTGTATTCCTGACTTCGGAGTGACTGTAACAGATTTAATTGAAGTATGATCGTACAGACTTGCCAGAGGACCTCTGGAGCGGGACACTTGAGTTTTTAGAGCACACAGTGAAAGGTGGAGTCTCCAGAGGTTCTCTGTGGAAAGGACAGCAGACAGCCAAGGAAGGAGACTCTGCTGGTGCCTTTGTCAGTTCAGTGAGACGAAGAGCAGAACAAACTTTAAATGTGGAATAAGAGGGAAGTCCCGGCAGTCCAGCTGAGCTGGCAGATGTCCTGGGTGATTAAATGTCAGCACAAGCAGCAGGCCTGCCCTGGGGCACGGGCTGCCTGCAGCCAGGGCACTCAGCAGCTTTGCTGTAGCTCAGTTCCTTGGAGCAGTGCTGGGATGGATCAGCAGCTCTGTCCGTGGAGGTGCCCATTGTCCGTAAACCTCTTTATTTGTTCCAAAGGCCCTGTAGGTGGTGATGGCAGGGAGGCTGCAGCAGCTCTGAGCTTCTGTAGAAACACCCCCTGGAGCTCTCTGTGTGAGTGGGAAATGGCTGATTTGCAGGAGGAAGCATTTTTCAGCAGAGCTGCTGCCAGAGGGGTCATTAATTCCCTGTTTGTGTTAACACTGCTCTGACATTAGAGAACCCCCAGCCTCTGTGGATCTTTGGGTGCAGTGCTCACCCAGCAGCTGTGCAAAGGTACAGTAAGTGAGTAGTTTTGCTTTTGTCCCGTGGAACGGGTGCTTCTTGCCTGGATTTCTGCCCGATGGTGTTGCACTCGAGGGCCCTTGGCTGCACAGGAACCATCCTGCTGTTTAGATTCTTTCCCAGGCTGCCATTTAAAAGGAAATAACCTCAATGTAGTCTATTAAGGCTTGGATTCCCCTGTTTTAGCTTCTCGAGACTTCTTTCCAGTGGCTGCCATGATTTTTCTCCCTCTCTTAATCCACCCCTTATCTCACTTTCTGTAGAGAATTTGCCTGTGCGCTCCCATTATGTGCTGTGAAGAAGTGTTAACAGACAGCACAGTTTGTTTCCAGTAGGGACAAACAAAAGTCCAAATGCCAGGGTCTCACAGGAACCCTGCCATCCCCCTGTGCTGGCCCAGAGTGGGAAGAGCAAAGAGCTGGAGATGGGCTGGCAGCGAGGGGGAGCCAGGTCCTGGCAGCTGCAGGAGCTGTGCCTTCAGCAGTGCTTTTGCTGGTTTTGTTCTGTTTGTTTGCCCTTCCTGAGCTGCATCCTCGCTCCCCAGTGCTGGCTGTGGTCAGTGCTCTGTCTGAAGTGACTGCAGGGCTGTGCACCCACAGCCTTGGCCCTGTGCCCACTGCCTGCTCAGGGAGTGCCCTGTGCGGCCACAAACCTAAATAGTAAATATTTACCCCAGTCCTTTATCCCAGCGCTCTCCCCACTTGGGAAAGTATCAGACGTGCTCCAAAATGGGAGAAATCTAAAAAAAAACTCCCTCTGTTGTATTCCAGCCTCCAGGGACTTGGGCTGTAAAACGTACCTGTTTTGGGGTTAGGTTTTTACCTGGCACCTTGGAATGGATAAATTAACCCTCAGTCTCCCAGGGCTGCCAAAATACTTCATAAACTTGTGTTGGAACTTTATTTTCGACAAATTAACTCTTGCCTGAAACGTCACGGTAGGCAGGAAAACTTGGCAGAAGTAACTGGAAGCATTTGTTCCTTTAAAGTAGAAAAAGGCAAGTCTTAAATCTCCTGTAAATAAATGATCTTCCCCGTGCCGTAGATCTCAGCTGCCGGTGAGGAACAGAGTGAACTTTGAGTGAAAAATCCGTGTTGTTCCTGTCGAGGGACGGTTGGAAACGTGAGGAAGGCAGCTGGCAGGCTATTTGGTTACACCTGTAATCTGCAAAAGCCTGAACAAAAATTAGGTGAAGAATATTTTTGCAATTGACCTTTCAGTGAACTCGCATAAATTTATTTCGCTTACTCAGTGGATGTTTACGACCTTATAATTTGAATGGCTGGATTAAGCTATGCTGAAATACGATGCCCTTTATAGGGTTAATGCATTTGAGAGGGACATGCATGCGAGTGCCCCCTCCTCTTCCCCAGCTTTGACACCACAGAGCATCGTTCTGAATTGAAATAGTCCATAATGGTCCCCGTTTTCACTTTTCTTTAACAACGTGAGCGCTAAATTATAGCTGTGCAATTATGTAAACAATGGAAATGCTTCCAGAATGAATACTTCCTTTTAAATTTTCATTTTGTGTAATTGCTGAAAGGTTTGGAGCCATAATAAACCAAAATTATTTTACACATTTATCGTTCTAAAGGTCAATTATGAAAGAAGTAAAGCAACAACAGCGTGCGGGATGAGTAAACCAATTTCCGCGGCCATCGCCATATGTTTTTCTTGTGGCTTGTGTTTTCCAGTTGCTGTGTACACAGCATTCAATTGAAGTGATTCATTGGCCGGGCTGGGAGCTGCTGCCCAGTTTGCTCCCTGTTTGCAGGGAGGGCAGGAAGCGGGGCTGTGTTTGAGTTACCCGATTTTGCCCTGTTGCTGATAGCACAGCTGTCCTGGCTCCCCGCGCTCCCACGAGCCGGTCCGTGCCGATCGGCTCCGCCAGCCCCCGGGCCCCAGGTGCCACCAGCGCTTCGTGGCACGGGGACGGGGCTGCCAGGCTACCTGTGAGCTCTGGCCTGGGCTGCTGCTGGCCCTGCCCAGCCCAGCAGTGGTGCCATGGGGCAGGGACAGCCTGCCAGCCCCAGCTGGGACCCAGAGTGCCCGGGGTGAGCTGCTCGGTGCCCGGGGCGAGCTGCTCGGTGCCCAGGGCGAGATGTTGAGTGCCCAGGGCGAGATGTTCGCTGCTCAGTGCTCAGGGCGAGATGTTGAGTGCCCAGGGCGAGATGTTCGCTGCTCAGTGCTCAGGGCGAGATGTTGAGTGCCCAGGGCGAGATGTTCGCTGCTCAGTGCTCAGGGCGAGATGTTGAGTGCCCAGGGCGAGATGTTCGCTGCTCAGTGCTCAGGGCGAGATGTTGAGTGCCCAGGGCGAGATGTTCGCTGCTCAGTGCTCAGGGCGAGATGTTGAGTGCCCAGGGCGAGATGTTCGCTGCTCAGTGCTCAGGGCGAGATGTTGAGTGCCCAGGGCGAGATGTTCGCTGCTCAGTGCTCAGGGCGAGATGTTGAGTGCCCAGGGCGAGATGTTCGCTGCTCAGTGCTCAGGGCGAGATGTTGAGTGCCCAGGGCGAGATGTTCGCTGCTCAGTGCTCAGGGCGAGATGTTGAGTGCCCAGGGCGAGATGTTCGCTGCTCAGTGCTCAGGGCGAGATGTTGAGTGCCCAGGGCGAGATGTTCGCTGCTCAGTGCTCAGGGCGAGATGTTGAGTGCCCAGGGCGAGATGTTCGCTGCTCAGTGCTCAGGGCGAGATGTTGAGTGCCCAGGGCGAGATGTTCGCTGCTCAGTGCTCAGGGCGAGATGTTGAGTGCCCAGGGCGAGATGTTCGCTGCTCAGTGCTCAGGGCGAGATGTTGAGTGCCCAGGGCGAGATGTTCGCTGCTCAGTGCTCAGGGCGAGATGTTGAGTGCCCAGGGCGAGATGTTCGCTGCTCAGTGCTCAGGGCGAGATGTTGAGTGCCCAGGGCGAGATGTTCGCTGCTCAGTGCTCAGGGCGAGATGTTGAGTGCCCAGGGCGAGATGTTCGCTGCTCAGTGCTCAGGGCGAGATGTTGAGTGCCCAGGGCGAGATGTTCGCTGCTCAGTGCTCAGGGCGAGATGTTGAGTGCCCAGGGCGAGATGTTCGCTGCTCAGTGCTCAGGGCGAGATGTTGAGTGCCCAGGGCGAGATGTTCGCTGCTCAGTGCTCAGGGCGAGATGTTGAGTGCCCAGGGCGAGATGTTCGCTGCTCAGTGCTCAGGGCGAGATGTTGAGTGCCCAGGGCGAGATGTTCGCTGCTCAGTGCTCAGGGCGAGATGTTGAGTGCCCAGGGCGAGATGTTCGCTGCTCAGTGCTCAGGGCGAGATGTTGAGTGCCCAGGGCGAGATGTTCGCTGCTCAGTGCTCAGGGCGAGATGTTGAGTGCCCAGGGCGAGATGTTCGCTGCTCAGTGCTCAGGGCGAGATGTTGAGTGCCCAGGGCGAGATGTTCGCTGCTCAGTGCTCAGGGCGAGATGTTGAGTGCCCAGGGCGAGATGTTCGCTGCTCAGTGCTCAGGGCGAGATGTTGAGTGCCCAGGGCGAGATGTTCGCTGCTCAGTGCTCAGGGCGAGATGTTGAGTGCCCAGGGCGAGATGTTCGCTGCTCAGTGCTCAGGGCGAGATGTTGAGTGCCCAGGGCGAGATGTTCACTGCTCAGTGCCCAGGGTGAGCCCAGCAGAGCAGGTTGTGTCAGGAGATGGTTCCTGGTGGGTGTCACTGCAGCCAGCAGGCCACGCTGGGAGTTCAAAGGGAAGCCGAGGACCGCTTCAAGAGCTTTCCAAAGGGAATTTCTGGCAGGTTTCTCTCTATGGAAAATGGTTTATTTTCAGTAGCACTGCATCTCAGAACCGGCGCGTGGGTCCCTGCAGCCTTTGGGGCCGTGAGTGCCATCACGGCGCTCTGGTGTGGCAGGAGCTGTGGTGTGGCTCTTCCTTGCCCTGCTGTGGGAGTGCTGAGCACAGGAGAGGGGCTGGGGCCCTGCTGTGTGACAGGTGGGAGCCCTGGCTGAGCCCTGGCTTGGTGCAGCAGCTCCCTGCGCTGCCACCGCCTCCCCGGCCAGGTGAGCCCGGGCTCCTTGGCGGTGGCACGTGTCAGCAGCAGCCTGCTCCCATCTGCTGCCCTGCTCAGGGCCAGCCCAGCCCTCTCTGGCCCCGTGTACAGGTGTGCTGTGCCTTAATCAGCCCCTCCTTATAACGAGGTGGCTCCTTTGTTCTGCGCCGAGCCGGAGCGTACCGCCCGCTTTATGAGCGGCTGCATCCATCTGCTCTGCTTCTCAGTGTTTGCACTGACCCATATTGACTCAACATGTATGAAAGGAAGTGATTAAAACAAGTTTAAACATTAACTTGAGTGGCATTTTAGCTTATTCAGGAAAGTGAAAGCGCTCTCTGCTACTGTGTTAAAAAGGAATACTGTTGATTTGAATGTGCAGCAGTTATTGCACAGGATGCTGGTGTGGCAGACACTCAGTGCAACACTAAGTAAGAGAAAATAGTGCTGATGTTAAAGCATCTCTTTGTGGAGGGAAAATTGGATTCATCAGCTTTAGCTTCTGCTGTAGAGACTGAGCACGTGGACACATTCTGGGGGTCTCTGGTTCAGGCCGTCTTTGACACATCATGAAACCAGTAAGGATGGACATGGAAAAGGGTTTTCCTTTGCAACTTTTCAAAATTTTACTGAATGGAAAATAATTACCTACTCAGTACAGAAATAGCTTGATGTAAGTCTTCAGCAAATACAGCGTCACAGGTGAGGATTATATAGATTTTGTGCCTAATTTTAAACCTGCTGAAAGCTTGCAGGGAAGAAATCTTAAATATAGGCACTTCGCTATGGTTTGGAGAGACTGTGAAGGCTTGAAATGTGGAAGGATTAAAGATGGAATTCTCCATGTGCTCTGTACCACAGGGTGATGGCAAGCCAAGCTGGGGCTGCTGGTCTGTTCCTTCAGGGAGCAGGCCTGGGGGGCAGCTCGTGTTCTTGTGGCATGGAATTCTGAGAGATGGGAGGAACTGGCTCCTCTGGACTGCTGCACTGCTTCATCTTAGATCCATTATGTGTTTGCATGGTTGGGTCCAAGGTCTTGTTTAACAGAATGGTTGTGCTTAGGCACGAAGAGACAGGAATGGTGGAGTGGGCTTTGAACAGGAATTTAGGGGTACAGATGTTACCAAAATACCAAATGCACTTTGGCTGCTCCACACCCCTGAAGTGGGAGGCGGTGATTTTGTGGAGGTCAGCTGGCACACAGAGCTCTGGGAGTGTGCACCTCGATCGGTGTGGGACTAGGGAACCTCAGAGTTAAATCTTCCCCAGCTCTCCCTTTTGCTTTTGGGCTTCCTGCCTTTGCTGACAGATGCCTTCTCTTGCAGGACATCCTGAACACTGTCGTAAAGCACTGCCCACCGTGGTTCTTCTTCCTGGGGCTGCCTGGCTTCACGATGCTGATCGGGGACTTCCTCGGCGCGGCGGCGCGCGTGCTGAGCGCGGACACGCCGGAGGTGAGCGCGGCACAGCCCGCTGGCCGGGCCCCGGGGGTGACACCGGGGGTGTCTGGGGCTGGGAAACCCTGGGATGAGGGAACCAGGTGCTGCAGGGGTGTTTGATCCGAGAGGAAGGCGTGTCCAGGCTGCGGCCAGCCGACGGCGAGAGCGGGGAACCCTCTGGGTGACGCAGCGTCCCCGGCTAAATGTCAGCACTAACAGAAATGTGACTCCAAACGATCGAGTTATCGAAGGATGAGTAAAACAGCAAATCAGTGAAGGGTTGCCAAAATAAAGGTAAAGGTCTGGCAGTCCTGGGAGAAACGGGGGAGCTCAGCTGCATGTGAAACACCAGCTCAGGGGAGACCTTTCTGTCTGTTCTGGCTCAGCGCTTCTGCTGCTGCTCTTGACATTTGTGCGGCTGAGCAGGTGGCCCTGTGCCGGGCCACAGCCCTCTCCTGTTTCAGCAGAGCTGGAATGGTGAGCCAGCCACGCCTCTTCCCTCAGCTCTCAAAGAGCTTGGTCAGCCTCACCGCTGAGCCAAGGCTTAAATGCTAATAAGAAATGGATGCTCGGTTTTCCATGGAAAGAAAACAAACCAAAACACCCCCTTCCGTTTCTCCTGCATGCATGGAACCACCATTGCACAGCAGTTAGTGTTTATAGCTCGTGCCCTGGTGCTTTTGTTGGAGCAGGATCTCTCTGCACATTGGTGTCACCTGTGCAGCCAGCATGAGTGGGTTCTGTGCCACAGGACCACCTCATAGCACTGCTGGCTTGCTGCTTCACCCCCTCACTCAGCTCTTCTTCGGGGGGTTCTGTGCTTTCTGATGGCATCAAGTGCCTGATCGTCAGCTTGGGTAATGAGGGGAAGTATTACAGATGTAGATGAGCTCAGGAGTGGGGCCAGGTGCCAGTGGAGGGGCAGCTCAGCCTCACCAGGGGAGCAGAGCAGCACAGCAGAGAAAGCACAGGCAGGAAGGTGTGTGTTGGGTACTGCTGGCACCCAGCTTGTGCTGCAGCTGCAGAGGAAAAACTGCTGGGATGTGTTCCTCGGACAGCTGGGTGCTGGGATGTGCTCCTGGGGGTGCTGGGATGTGCTCCTGGGGGTGCTGGGATGTGCTCCTGGCGGGGCTGGGATGTGTTCCTTGGACAGCTGGGTGCTGGGATGTGCTCCTGGGGGTGCTGGGATGTGCTCCTGGGGGTGCTGGGATGTGCTCCTGGGGGTGCTGGGATGTGTTCCTCGGACAGCTGGGTGCTGGGATGTGTTCCTGGGGGTGCTGGGATGTGTTCCTGGGGGTGCTGGGATGTGCTCCTGGTGCAGCTGGGTGCTGGGATGTGAATCCAGCAGGCTGAGTACAGCAGTGCTCTCTGGAGCTGGGGACATCTCCAGTGTGAAGGGTTTTCAGTGACTATTTCAGTGAATTTTTTAGTGACTATTTCTGCCTGCTTGCCCTTGGCCAGGCTCCCCGCTGTGAAGCTCACACCATCCTTGGTGCTCTTGTGTGCTTTCCAAACACCTACCAAGGAATCCCGTGGGTGGGACCCGTCTCAGAAGGCAGTGAGAGCATCACAGGGAGTGCAGATATGAAGGTAAAGTCACATTTATTGTAAATCCTTAGGTAACCTAACCTGGTTTCACTGTGCAGTGACTTCATTCCTGCCCAAGTGGTTGCCCTGACACAAGCCTCTGTTGCTTTTGATAAACTTGAGGCACTGCAGTGATGCCCTGCTCAAAATTCAGGGTGGCTGGGGAGGAATCTCTGAGCTCCTCACGTGGCCTGAGCAGGCAGGACCAGAGAGGATGCAGAAATCCCTTTCGCACGCTTGGCTCCTGTTCTTGCTTCTTCATCAGGCCTTGGACAGTCACTGGAGGTGTCTTCCTTCTACAGCTAAGACAGTTCTGTCGTTTCTGTACTAAACAACGCACTAAATTTTTCCTAATGTGTTTTGGTTAGAACCTAAACACTACATAGAGTATGTTGTGGAGTGACCAGCACTTGTTGTTTGTAACTGCCCACTGTAAAAGAATTGATTTCCTCTCGCTGCCTGTACGTGAGTTGTAAGCTGATTTGATTTCTCCACAAGGGCCTGTACATTTGAGCTGTAATCGGTGTTTCTCCCTTGACAAAACACAACTGGCGTGACGTAAAAGATGCTTTAGCAACTAGATGGAGAATTAGTGACTTCACCTGTAACTATGTCAAAATGAAACAACTTTAAAGTAGATGTATGAGAAAGATTCTTATTCTAATTTATTTTGTTATTTTAGTATTGCCTCATAAATATTTTATTGAAGAATGCTACAGAGGAGCCAAGTGAAGCTGCAAGGTAAAATACTGAGTAAAAGAAATGGGAAAATATCATAGAATAGGTTGGAAAAGACCTCTAACGTTATCAAGGCCAACCATTTACGGGTTGGAAAAGTCTTTCTTGCTGCTTATCTGCTGCTGCTGCCTTGTGGTTTGGTCCTGTGAAGTTGAGCCTTACTCTGCACCGTGAAGGTGCTGGCCTGTCGTGTTGGAGGGGAAAGAGAGATCTCATCTTTGTGCATTTTTTTTCCTTTTTTTCCCCCCCTAAATATTCCTGTGAATGTCCTGACCCTCTCTGTTTTCCTCTGCCCAAAGATGCATAGCCATCTGTGGCCTGGGCGTGTGGATCTGCGAGGAGCTGACGCAGCGCAGCAGCCACCCCCACGTGAAGAAAGCCATCAATGTCATAGGTGTGACACTGAAGGTATTGCTGTGCCGGGCTCTGATCAACCAGCTCCGGGGCGAAAAAGGCATTTTCGCTTTGCAGAAACAGCCCCTGTGCCTGCAGACCCCTTCCCCAGCAAACTCACCCAAGAGATCACATAGGTCGTGTCCAACCTGCCGGTTCCTAACGCTGACAGTGCGATTGCACAGCGCTAACCTTGTTCGTTGTCTGCAAAGATGCAAAAGCTGAGTGCAGTGTATCGTATCAGGACAGTTTATTTGGCTCTTAATCACCTTTTTTCTTCCAGTTTCCCAACAAGCTGGTAGCTCATGTCGCCTGTGATGTCCTTCAGCTGCTGGTGTCGTACTGGCAGAAGCTCCAGGAGTACGAATCCTCCCTGTGCCGGAAAATTACTGAAGTACGCCAGATTCCTTAAAGCGTTTGTATGGAAATCGTGTGCAAAGTTGTCTGAATCCCCTCCTTGGGCTGCTGTGATTTTGCCAACTCCTGCTTTTTTGTATTGTTAGGGGGGTACTTGCTGCACTCCCTGGAGCAGTGTAGGTCCCTCGTTTGTAGGGACTTGTTTGCGAAATGCCCAGGAAAACGTTGTCTTTCGCTGGGACGTTGATTGTCACGGGCAGCTGGATGCTCCTGGGAGAACCTGAGCTGTTCCACAGCCCGTGCAGTGAAGGTCTGTCTCTGCAGAGGAAGAGGCTGAGTGCCTTTCTGACTCTTGGTTTGTTTGGCTGCAGATCCTGGTGGCCACCATCGCGTTTCTCCTGCCCGGTGCCGAACACTCCTCCCTGGAAGCGGATAAGAAGGTGTGTCGCTGAAAAGAGCCCTCTCCGTTCCTCCTGCTGTCTGAGGGGGATTTAAATCAGCTTGCTCCAAACCAGAGCTGAATTCTAAGCTTTCCAGCTCATGCCCTAGAGTCTGGGTGAATTTAACAGAGCGTTCCTAAGTGCCGTGTTCTCGTTCAGTTCATAGTTTCTCTGCTGCTTTGTCTGCTGGACTGGTGCATGGCACTGCCCATGAAAATGCTGCTGGAGCCCGTGTCTGCAGGTGCTGTGGAGGATCAGCACGCATCCAGAGCTCCTCTGCTGGATTATATTTACAGAGTGAGTAGGGGGAAGGAAGGTGGTGTACTCTGCCTGGCTGTTTAAAGATGCCTTTCACACACCCTGAAGGCACAGAAGCAGCTTTGTCAAGCACTGGAAAAATCATCTCATCCAGGTGAGAAGTTACAAATGCAGAACCTTAAGAAGGTGAGATTAGAGATGCAGGACAGACAGGGGATGGTGAAGACAAAGATAAAATGCTTAAAACAACGAGCTGGGGAAATAATCTTGGCAGGAATATTTGGATTATTTGCAGCGGGCTGTTAAGATACAGAAGAAGCCGTGAAGCGAGCTGTTGAGGTACAGAATGGGTGCAGATGGAGATGGTTAATCTGGAACACTGAATTTGGGCCCGGGTGGGCTGTGTGGTGTGTCAGAACCCCGGGCCCTGCTGGCTGGGTGTGTCGGGATTACGGGATCTGTCCGGGGTTGCTCACCGCTCCGTGTCCCCGCAGGTCCTGCACTGCTGCGTCAACGGCTCCAGCACCTACACCCAGCAAAGCCACTACGTGCTGAGCCTGGCCGACCTCTCCTCCTCTGACTACGACCCCTTCCTGCCCCTGGGGAACGTCAGGAGCTCCTCGGAGCCAGCCCAGTGCCCTTCCTCCACCGACCTGGGGAACCTGCTCACCGTGGCCGAAGGTGAGGTGTGCCCAGGGCTGGGCCAGCCTGTGTGTGCAGCGCTGGGGAGCTGTCCCAGGCTCCATCTCTGTGACAGGATGCCCGAGTTCCTTCCCAACGCTGCTCCGTAGAACAAATGTACCTTTAGAAGGCGTAAAAGGGAAGGAAACACTGTAAACCAAGGAGAAATAGTTTTACACTGAATATGAAAAAACCCACAAGTTAGGGGGTTTCTGGCTGTAAGAGGAGTAACGTTCCCGTGGGAGAAGTGGAGGCACAGCGGAAGCTCAGGAGCACAGACACTTGATGAAATAGCTGGTGGATGTGCCTGTGCTGAGGGGACCATCTGGGCATCCGGGAAGTCTCTCCCTGCCTCACCTGAGACCTTCCCACCTGCCAGGGACGGAGCAGCATTTATTTGCAGTCACACCTCTGGTCTGCCTTGGCTTTTCTGCCGATGGCTGTGGGGATGTGGTGAAGTCAAATAAAGCCGTGGGGCAGGTAGGATCTCTGGGAAAGCTGTTGGAAATGTTTCCGTGAACAGGAAGGGTCAGCAGGTCACGTGGGCCAAGTTGCTGCGGCGCGGCAGAAATCCGCACGTGCTCCTTCTGCGTGTTGCCTCTTGCTGCCCCTGCTGATCCGCTGTGTTTTTCTTGGTGGTTCCAGAGAAGAGGAGGAGGAATTTGGAGCTGATCCCTCTCACGGCGCGGATGGTCATGACTCACCTGGTGAATCACCTGAGCCACTACCCGCTGAGCGGGGGCCCCGCCATCCTGCACAGCCTCCTGAGCGAGAACCACGACAACTCCTACGTGGAGTCCTCCGAGCTGTGCTCGGAAGTGTTCCGCAGCCCCAACCTGCAGCTCTTCGTCTTCAACGACAGCACTCTCATCTCCTGCCTCCAGATCCCCGCCGAGCAGAGGCCGGGCCCCGAGCCGGCCGCGGCGCCCTCGGACGTGCGGGTGATCGTCAGGGACATCTCGGGGAAGTACTCGTGGGACGGCCGCGTGCTCTACGGGCCCCTGGAGGGCCGCCCGCCGCAGCGTGCCACCGCCACCACCACCTTCGCCGGTGAGGCGCGGCAGCTCGGCCTGTGCCAGGACAGCGAGGCACGGCAGCTCGGCCTGTGCCAGGACAGTGAGGCACGGCAGCTCGGCCTGTGTGGGGACACCTTCACCGGTGAGGCGCGGCAGCTCGGCCTGTGCCAGGACAGCGAGGCACGGCAGCTCGGCCTGTGCCAGGACACCTTTACCAGTGAGGCGCAGCAGCTCGGCCTGTGCCAAGACACCTTCACTGGTGAGGCGCGGCAGCTCGGCCTGTGTGGGGACACCTTCACCGGTGAGGCGCGGCAGCTCGGCCTGTGCCAGGACAGCGAGGCACGGCAGCTCGGCCTGTCCCAAGACACCTTCACCAGTGAGGCGCGGCAGCTCGGCCTGTGCCAGGACGGCGAGGTGCAGCAGCTCGGCCCGTGCCAGGACGGTGACACGCGGCAGCTCGGCCCGTGCCAGGACGAGGAGGAGGCCGAGGACGCGCTGGAGCAGCTGCTGGAGCGCATCGGGAGCAGCAGCCCCGAGTGCCTGCCGCACCCGCAGCGCAGGCTGAACGAGCCCGCGCCGCCGCCCCGCGCCCTCAGCGCCGAGCAGGAGCGCGCCCTCAGCGAGGCCCTGCTGCGGCAGAGCGCCCGCGAAAGGGACTTTGTGCTGAGCTGCGGCTCCCGGCGCCGCCTGAGCCTGGCCTGCCAGCGGCCACCGCCCCCCGCGCAGCCGCAGGCCTCCTTCTACTTCTGCCGGCTGCTGCTGGACGACTTGGGAATGAACTCCTGGGACAGAAGGTAGGAAGAGAGAGCATCCAGAACGTGCTTAGCGTGCTCGTCTCGGGTTTTAATCCCGAATGCGCTTAAGGAAGCGAGGATCGCGTAGCTGGGGTAAGAGCGGAGCTTTGAACCTCGGTGATTATTTGAAAGAGGCGTCAATAGATCGTGTAGAGCAGTAACTCTGGGAAATCGTACTGTGTTAATTCTCTTAGCTATTTGGATGATGAAATACCGTCTCTGCGCCGTGTTGCATTTGCCTTCAAACCCTTCTTTATTTATTTTCAGGAAAAGCTTTCATCTGCTGAAGAAAAATTCAAAGTTACTGCGAGAGCTGAAAAATCTGGATTCCCGGCAATGGTAGGTGATGTGCACTGAACACAGCATTGATAAGGTTTGTGTGTCCCAAGGAGTCACCAGAGCCAAAACTTCGTTCCTGTTGAATCCAAGGACTGGTATGGCAGTTGGACTGGTTGTTTCTCCAGAGTTCTGTAGCCTGAATGGAGAAGCCGCCTGTGCTGGCACATTCTCTGTGTACAGAGAGCTCCGAATCACTGGCAAATAATAAAACACGTTTTTCTCAAGTTTGCTTTAGCTGAGAGGAGAGCAAATCAAATTGCTAGTGACCTGGGTTCAGCTGACAGGATTTCCTGCAGGGTGATCCCTGTGTCAGGAGCAGTACTTGGAGGGCTCACCTACCCAGATCTGCTCCCCAGCCAGGAAGAGGCAGAAGGGAGTTCTGAATGCTGCGTTTTATTTCTCGTTGCTTGACACGGAGCTGCTTGAAAAACATCTCCAGCATTGCAGAGTTCTGAGCTCCTTCTGTCCCAACAATTTCCACATCCGGTGCGCTTTGTGTGTTTCCGGAGAAGCCAGCTGTCCCTGTCAGCCTTGTAAAACTCTGCCCAGGGTCTCAAAGTCAGTGATGTTTCTTCTGCCTTGTATGCCATCATCACCCTGTAATTAAAATTCTGTAGGTCAAATTATGCTCCCATTAACACCTGTGCCACCTTGCTGTCTGTGCAGTGCTGCCCAGAGCAGAGTCATTAACCCTGTCATTGGAATTTGGCCACCAGCTGTGCGGCTGACGCGCGGGAGGAGCGGGCTTGGCGCTGCTCTCGGAACCGGGGCGTCCCTGCAGTGAGGTTTTGGTGGCAAAACAGCGGGGGCAGGTCTGAAAGCGAGCCACGTGTTTGTGCAGGAAATGGGCGTACGGGGCTGGCTGTGGCACCTGGCCGTAGGTTGGGAGCGCAGGGGGACCTGGAAGATAATTCTGAGCTGGTTTAACCTGGGTTTCCTTTTCCATGCCGTGGCAGCCGTGAGACGCACAAGATCGCTGTGTTCTACATCGCCGAGGGACAGGAGGACAAGTGTTCCATCCTGGCCAACGCCAGGGGAAGCCAGGCCTACGAAGATTTTGTGGCTGGGCTGGGCTGGGAGGTAACAGCCGTAATTTAGATAACTTCCCTTGTTGCACGGTTCTCTTGGCACTGCACGGTTTTTCATTCACACACACGCAGAACAATCCCCGCTGCGCACCGATGCCCGTAGCTTTTAGCTCCCGAGTGGGAGCACACGCTCGCTCAGCACAGGCGCCCTTGATGACGCGTGTGGGTTTAATTTGCTTTGTCAGAATGGTGTGTCGTAGTCGAAACGCCACGAGCACTTTGGTGTTTGGGAAATCCAGAGTAAATTCATGTCCTGTTTAAGCGTGCAAGTGCTGCAGGGGGATGCAGCATCCTCAGACTGGTGCTGTTGGGAATGCAAATGAGCCTTTGGACTCAGCCTTGACTTCAGAGAGGTGTTTCTTCAGAATAAGCTTCCGGAATAAGTTCTTCTAAGGTTCTTCTTTCTGTCCGAATCTTTGGTTTCTTGTGCGGTTTTTCTGGTTCTCTTTCTCTCTGCCAGTTGTGATGCTCCTGGCAGTGGGAGCTGTGAGCCCCACAGAGCCCTGAGTCACAAGGTGCTGTTGTTTCCTTGCCGCTGTTTGCGGGAGGAAGGTAAAATAGCTGGGCAGATAACGACTCGGGACCGAGTTCAGAGAGATTTACTGGCAGTGAATGTCAGATACAGGTACGGGAAAGACAAATCTAACAGAGGGATTGCAGAGCTGGAGGGGAAGGCTGCTTTTTCTCTGGGATGGATGGCTGTGGAAAGCTCGGGTGGTGATTTCATTAATCCTGGTACAGAGGCAGGTGCTGGCAGCACATCAGTGTTTTCAGGTGGCTGCTGTCGGTGCCTTTGGCTCCCTCAGGTCGACCTGTCCACGCACTGCGGGTTCATGGGCGGCCTGCAGCGCAACGGCAGCACGGGGCAGACCGCGCCCTACTTCGCCACCTCCACCGTGGAGATCATCTTCCACGTGTCCACCAGGATGCCCTCCGACTCGGACGACTCCCTGACCAAAAAGGTAAAGGCTCTGCAGGCTGTTTCAGGCAGTGCTCCCGCGGAAGTCCCAAGCGAAGGCGGCTTTTGCTGGCTGTCCCTGCGGTGCCACGTGGTGCTCTGCAGCTGGCTTAGCTGAATTAAATGGCATCTAAATTCTGGGTTCTGAAACACAATTAACATTTCCACGGTAGCCTCAAATGCCACCGTGAGTAATAATATTAGCAACGATTTCATCTGTACGTTGTCCGCCTGCCAAAACTGCTGTAGGTTGGTGGAACAAAGCAACCAAAGGCAGCATGGTAAAACCTTGGGTAGGGCTCGTCCCGTGCGGAGCAGCAGAGAGAAAGGGGCTGGAGCCCAAGCAGCCAGCTCTGAGTTCAGGCCAGGAGCCAGCTGGGCACGCAAGTCTGACAAGCAGCCTCTGCCTCAGACGGCCAGAGCCCAGCCCAGAGTTCTGCCGGTACCGCTGCTTAATTGTTCGCCTTTCCTAACGAGGAGCTATTTCGGATGATGCCGTTTGCCAGCTGCTGCTTAGGCTCAGAGAAGGTTTTTTGGGGCATACCAAATCTCTGCCTTTTCAATTGGGATTGGCAGCTTGTCCTGCAGAGGTTGTTAGCATGCATCAGTAATGCTGCAGCAGCCATGCAGTGCGCCGAGGGGCTCTGCTCTGCGCTGAGTGCTGGCTGGACCTCTGTCCCTCAGTGTTTGGTGTCCAGTTGGTTTCAGAGGGATGTGTGCTTTTCTTTCAAATATAAAGGTGGAATCTCTGATTGATTACTGGTTCTGAAAAATTGCCCAGTGTTCCACACCGAAGTCTTTTTTTATCTTGTCTTTTTTTATTGTGATATCTGTCATTTAAAAAAAAAGAAAAGTCAGCAAAAGGACATGTTTCTCTCCCTGTGTGTAACTCTCTACCTTCATAGGCACAAGGCTGTGGAAAGAAGTACTCTGAGTGCTTCAGAGGGGGACAGTGGTGGGTAGGACAGGGCTGTAGAGTCTCTGTGACCATACCAGGGTAGGACTGTGTATTTCTGCATTTCCTGACCAGTATTAGTCCAGCTGCTAGACCAAAACTCCAGTGATGAATGATTTACAGTTTCCCTAGGCAGCATACTCCACATTCCTATGCTCCACTTCTTGTACCATGAAGAAAATCTCCGGTAGTGCCTACTTGGCTTCAATTTAAGCCCATTGATTCATATTTCACATGGATACGAGGGGCAGGTTATTTTGCAGCACACTTCTGCGTGTCTGAGAACTGCTGCCACATCTTCCCCAGACTTCCTTTTCCTGCACAAAGTGTGGCCATTTATTTAGTGTAACCTTCCCTTTTAAGCCCTGGGTTTTGTGGGAGCCTGGCAAAGACACTGGGGTAACTCTGGCTGTTGAGTAATTCATCACCCGGGAGGACAGCACGGTGTGGCAGAGCTACCAGAAGGGGAAAAACGGGGTTTAGCTGCAAACAGTCCACTTATTCTCCTAATTCTCATCTATGTTAGGGGTTATCACAGACCCTGAGGGTCTAGTCATTGTGTTTGTCCTCCCTGTGTTTGCTCCAAGAGAATTCCCTGTGAGAAACAGAAACCAAAAGCATTTAGTAGCTGTCAGTCTCCAAGTTTTGTAGTGCCAGGAAGCCGGGCCAGCTCCAGCATATGCTGTCTACAGAAAATAACTGCAAAGGAATTGCTCTAGGACCTTCTCAAAAAACCTGAGATCTGCTCTAGGAATGGCACCCTGCAGGGATCAGACTGGGAATTCTGGTGAAGGACAAAGGTCTGAGCAAGCTCGTGGGCCCGAGGAGCTGCAAGCAGTGGCTCCAGGTGACTTCCAGAGGGCTTTTCGGTGTGTGCTCGTCCATGGTTCCACACACAACAGTTCCATTCCGTTTGTCCCAGCTCTGCTGTGAGCAAACATGCGGTTCTGTGCAGATCAGCATGGATTGTTGACAGATTTTACAGAACTGCAGCTGTGAGTGCAGAAAAGGTGCATTTCAGAAGCACTGCGCTTTCTGGAAGGTGGGCGACTCTCTGGGCTTAGGTCCTTGCCTCACATTGTTGGGGCAGAATGTCCAGGTTAGAAGGATTATTTGATATTTATTACTTCTTGCCATCAATGCTTTTGTTCATGGGGGTGTGGGAGAGAAAGATGGAAGCCCTTGGCATTCATTCTGTTCCTGCTCCTGCAACTGAACCGTACCTGGTGATACAGGAGAGTGTGGTGCTGGGAGGGGAAAACTTCATCAGGATGCAATGGGGGCCACAGCTCCTTTTTTCCTGCCCTTCCCTCTGGGGTCTGAGGTCCCACTAATCTCTGAAATCTTTGTGATTGCTGGGTTTTTTTCTCTGCTTATTTTGCCTCTGACCAAGAGAGGCTTCATCCCTGTCAGCACGCTCCCAGCTGAACAGGACTGACCACCTGCTGGCCTGGGGGGGCAGAGCAAGGCCATAAATTCTGGGGGCTGGGGATTCAGCAGATGCAGTAATTTTACTTCAACGTGTTATTATGGTTCTTTATTTTTACTGAGCACAAGGATAAATTAAGTTCTGGTATGAATTCCCCAGAATAAGTGTGTTTCCACTGGGGATGAACTTGTTCCCTTTGTGCAGTACAGCTGTCATTCGCAGTCTGCATTTATTAATTTGAGGTATATGCTGACATTATGTTGCTAATTCAGGTGGGAAGAAAGGGGAAAAGAAAGAAAGAAAGAAAGAAAGAAAAACCCCTCTCCAAATAAGTCTTGGCCCTGACAGAAATCTTTTCTAGTGAAGTAAACAAAATTCAGCTGATCTCTTTTGCTGCTGTAGGGTTCAGCATCACTGGTTCCAAACTTTATCTGCCTGTCTTGTGGCAAGAGTGAAAATCAATCCCAGGAAAGGCATCCTACCGTCCCTGTCTCGTTCTGCTCAAACTGTGCTTAACGGTTTAAAGATGTGCTGTCGAATTTCTCAGTGATTTATTCCATCCTCTCCATTGTCAGAGCAGAACTTTTTCAATTCAGAAATCTGGTTGCAACCCCATACTGAACTCTTGCTCCTTTGCTGCAGAAATTTGTTAGCTGGGGCTAGATTAGATTTTTAGCAGCTAATCTGACTGCTGTAGGGGTTTGCAGAGTGGGGACAGAGCTGTGCTATTGGATTTGTCCAATTCATTTGACTCCAGGACTATAATTGCACTTATGTCTTACAAGGCTTTTATGGCCTCAGGCTGGCGAGCAGCAGAAAAACAAATTGGCAGTGATACAGTGAGAGTGAAAGGGAATGAAAGGCACACATTATCAGTCTCCAGGCAGCCCTGCTCTGGCAGGAAGTTTCTCGGTTAATTTACAAATAAAACTTAGATTTTAGGATGGGCGCACAGTCAGCCAGACAATGGGGATGTCAGGCCCCACTGTTACTTAGCAAAAGTAGCAGCCATGGCTCCCCAAAAGCAGGAATTCTTCAGTCAAACAGACGACTCCTCTCTGGAGCCAGCTGGCTGTGTAATGCAATTAGCAGGGAAAGGAGGTCATGCCGGAGGTGTGCACCGTGACCAGCGCTGCCTGCCGGGCTGGGGATGTGGGGATGTGGGGATGTGGGGATGGGGGGCTGGGGATGTGGGGATGTGGGGCTGGGGATGTGGGGATGTGGGGCTGGGGATGT